AGTGGTGTTTAGTGACTGTTTGTCATCAAATTGATATGAAATTGTTTTTTAGTGGAATTAAAGGTACGTTTGTTGGTGTGTAAGAGGTTTTTGTTCAGTGAACAGTGACCTATAAAGGAGCAGTCTGTGCACTTTGGTACAGATTTAAACTCCTTATACTCTAGTTTTAACTAAATGAGCACAACGTACACACTAAAATTATATAAATAAGTATTAGTAAAGCTGTAAAATCAGACTGAACATGAAATTAAAAGCACAAAACACGACTAAGACTGGCCTCCAGCTGAGCTTCAACTCACTCAGGCTACGTTCAGCTTTAAAACCTGAGAAGATGCTTCATTAAAAACTTCAAAAGTGATCTGTTTTGACTTCATTTGCTGTTTTTGTTAGCGGCCTCCAGCCTAGAGGTGCCTGGGCCGGTATTCATACCACACCATGTACATCTAGCTCACAATAAACTGGCTTTTTAACCGATGAACTCATGTGAGACAGCGGTTAATCTCACAGTATTCAAAAAACAACACAATCTTTCCACACGTTGCTAAGCTAGCGGCTAACTCGGCTAAAACATTTTTACATAAACTACGTCCTCAAACACTTATTTTCAAGTTAAGCTTAAACAACCTATAAGTGAAATGTTGGCTTAGCTCTAAGTGAGATTTAATCACGTTTTACGTACCTGTGGAGCAGTAAGGAACACACAGAATTAGCTTGAAGTTAGCTCATTTTATTCTGCCGCTACTGTGACAGTTATGCTTCAGTGGTGTTTCCCTGAGTGGTCCTGGCACTCTGGCGACACCTACTGTCACTAAAGGGTTATGGCAGCCATATTTGTTTGACATATAAAGTGATTGAAGAGAAAAATAATAATATAATAGTTCTATGACAGCTTGTTATTGTGTTTTGTTTGTTTTGTGTCAGCTTACCTCTAATATGTATGTATGTATATATCTACATTTGCACTGCCTATTATTATTATTATTTTTTTTATTATTATTATTATTATTATTATTATTATTATTATTATTATTATTATTATATACTTACATCCCTATCTTTTATATATAAATATAAATATACATATATATATATACATATATCTTTTCTATATTCCCCCCATTCAGAAGCCCATTTTTCATATTCTGTTTTGCACTACTCACCTTGTTTGCACTATTTCTTATATTTATATGTACATTTTTTATTTTTTGTTTTTTCCTGTCTCGTATATGTGTACCTCTGTTGAAAGCTGCTATCAACGATGTGAATTTCTCCACTGTGAGGTAAATAAAGGGAAGGCATATCTTATCTTATCTTATCTTATCTTTCCTGTTTTACTTTAAATAGAGGCTTTTCCCATCCTCTACATTTTCCCTCATCACTCTTATATTTGTGATCTTCTGATGATTTAAATATTCTGGAAATCATCAGCATTAGTTGTCCCTGATGTGTTTGACTGGATGTGGTGATTTTTGTGTCTCCATGTTTGTGTATCAGGACCCGACAACTCAGATTTCCAAACCTGGGACCTGCTGTCCGGCGCCATCGCCGACTACAAGTTTATGAGCTTCAAGCATCGCGGCTGTTTCAGCGACGTCGCTCAGTGCAGAGTGATGGATATCAATGACACCATGGCTATCAAGATCTTGAAGAAGAAGACCAGGGACTCCCAGCAGCCCAGCAGAGAGGTAGATCCTGAGTCTGTGTCTCACACATTTCATCACAGTGTTAACTTGAACCGTCACTGAGCTGCATCGTCTGTCTAATGTCTTGTGTTTTCTCTCCAGCTGGCCATTCTGAGAAAGCTCCGACGTGTTGATCCCGTCCACGTCGTTCGCTTCTACGAGAGCCTTCAACACAAAGGGCACACTTGTCTAGTTTTTGAAATGCTGGACAAGAATCTTCTTGAGCTGTTGAAGGAGAGACATGGAGAACCTCTCTCACTTCCTGTCATCAGACCCATCACACAGCAGGTACGTGGATTTGACGATTCTGTGTCTGCAGATTTACACAACATATAAACTCCACATATGGCCAACATTTCAACAATTAAATTCAGTCTTTGCTTCTTCTTCTGGCCCTGCAGCTGCTCTCTGCACTGGACTATCTGAAGACTGCCGACATCGTTCACACCAACATCCAACCGCAAAATGTGATGTTGGTGAAGCAGGAAGACCAGCAGCCCGTCGGAGTCAAGCTCATTGGCTTTGGCTCAGCCGTCCAAACTGCTGAAGTCAAGTCCAGCTCTGTCGTGCAGCCTGCTGGATACAGGTGGGTTTGAAGATTTGTCTTCCAGCATCACTTACTTGTGGTCTTCTTTCACTGATCTCATGTCACCAACAATCATCAGCATGTAAAACTGCAGAAAGTCATTGTAGTCACTGTCTGCTGTCCTCCTTCCTCAGGTCTCCTGATGCCATTCTGGGCCTTCCCGTCTCCCCGGCAGTAGACATGTGGTCTGTGGGTGCTGTTCTGACCACCATGTACCTCGGCAGCCCGCTGTTCCCTCAGAGGTGTCAGTATCACCTGGTATGTTCTCGGATTTAATTGCACAACTTCATGTTTAAAGTCAAAGATATGCTGGAGTATCTTTGATGCGGATGTCGCTGATATTCTCTCTCTTTAGATGAAAACTCTGGTGGAGACTCTGGGTCAGCCGGAGGATGAGCTGCTGAGTGGCGGCACCAACACTCTGCTCTACTTCAACACCACAGAACACACATGGACGCTGAAGGTGTGAAACCCTGTCCACAACAAGTTTCTTTTATATTTGGCAAAAGTTCCTACAGTTGCATTCATGTTTTTAAAAAAATCTCAAATAAATTCTCATGTTTTCCAGACACCTGACGAGTACAAAGTCACGACTGGCTTCATGCCTCAAATTCTGAGAGGCAGCTCAAGCAGGTTCAACAGTCTGTCTGAGCTGGTGGAGGTAGGCGGTCCTGGACAGTCTGCACATGTAAATGCTGATTTAAAACATGTGTGCTGTTTTGAACAACTATGACATGCGTTTCCACATGCAGCTGTATCCAGATGTGGACACTCGTGACAAGATGGCGTTTGTCAGCCTCCTGAGGAAGATGCTGCATCTGAACCCTCAGAAACGAATCTCACCAACTGATGCTCTCAAGCACTGGTTTCTGAGCGGCAGCAAAGAGGACCAGAGTGACAGCAGCTCTCAGTAAGTGATGGCTGGATGGATGCTGGATGATTTAGTTGATGGAATGTTCAACTAGATGATTTGAATCTTTGACTCATTCACTTGTTGTCGTTCTTCATCCAGTGACACGGTCTCCGTTTCCTCTGTGAGCGTCCCTCCAGTGGCAACACCAGCAGAGGAAGGCCACACCTCAGCAAGCCTCAACGAACACTCAGCTGCCAGCTGCTCAGGTGTTGAAAGTGTAGCTGCTGTTTGCTGTAAAGATGAAGCCTCAGATGAAGCTGCTGCCACCACTGACTGTGTGGATCCAACCTCAGTTGTCACTGACCTGAATGACGCTGTTCCAGCTGATCAAGGTCCAGCTGAAGTGTCCACTACTGCTGAGCTTTCTGCTCAAGTGACGGCTGACACTCATGAGACCAGAAAGGCTCCAAGGAGGCTTCTGAAAAGAGTCCGACGGTTCTTTGGCAGAGTGTTCAGAACTCTGTGCTGTTGTTGCTCCGCACCAGCTACAGAATAATTCTGTTATTTTTTATTATTTCATTTATTGTTACTATTTCATTTACAGTTCGTTATTTCATTTATTGTTTATTTCATTTACAGTTTATTGTTTCATTTATTGTTTACTATTTCATTTACAGTTTATTATTTCATTTATTGTTTACTATTTCATTTACAGTTTAATATTTCATTTATTGTTTACTATTTCATTTACAGTTCATTATTTCATTTATTGTTTTTTTTATTACATTTAGTGTTTATTATTTCATTTATTGTTCACTCTTTCATTTGTTTCATTTTAAACATTTTAAATGTTTAAATGCCTCATCCTAAAAACAAACCTAACACCAGCCTGTCAGTTCCAAACTCTGGTCCTGGCTCAGTCAGGTCCACTCCTACAACTGTATCTGAGTCGGCCTACGGTTCTCCTGCCTCAGAGTCAGCTGATGCAAAATCTGTCCCAAAGTCTGCAAACATCCAAACTGATGTCAGACTAGATAGACAATCAGCGCTCACTGCTCACTCCCAGTCTCATGGTCATCCGTCTGCTCTGCCTCCTCCCGTCAACTCCCCAACTGCTCTGGCTCCCATCTCTCTGCAGCCTTAACTGATCCACAACGTCCTGGTCACCCATCTTCTGACCGACAACCTCTAGAGTTCTCCTCTGAAAACAAAATAAAATACCAAGTAACTTAAATGTCCTGAGTAGTTTGACTGTCAGATGGAAAAGCAGTCTGAGTGTCATCAGTGATCACAGCTGGACAAGGAGCAGCAGTGGTACGAACTGCAGAAGAAACACTTGTGCTGCGGTTTAGGCAGCATATTAAGGTAACAGGCAGATTATATTTAAAAAATGGTTTCATCTTTTAACGCTAACAGTAGTGTTGTTACCTGAGAAGCAGTTACAGGTCACAGAATAATTATCTTCTGCTATTTAATCTCAGCAGCTGGATAAGAAATCTTGTCATCAGGTGTGTTACATGTATAGGCTGAGTCCTATTTCCACATACAGCACTTTGTCCACTTTTTAAAACAAGTTACTAATAACTACTGAGCATCGTTTCAATTCCTCATAGCTTCACTCATCACTTGTTGTTTAGAACAAGTCATTTTAATAAAAGCTAGTGAATTTTAAAACTCTATAAATGAACACAAGCACATACAGTATAGCTTTTTCAGTATCTTCAAACAGGCACAACAGACAATCACATAACCTGCACTGTCAAAAAGGGTTTATGTCAAACGATGCATTATGAAATAACACTGACATTGTGAGGAAAAATGCTACTGCGGAATAAAAAGAACCAAATAACATTAAAGCAGTCCATTATGTTTATGTGAGCACTGTGGAGACATTTGAAAATGACATTTTACATGAAACACATTGGCTCATCATTTCATACAATATGATGTGTTGTTACTTGATGAGATCATCCAAAAGTATAGGAAAGCGTTCCACTTATCTCCATGTCATGAAGCTGCAACATCTATTGTCCGTTTACATGTTCATTCATCAATAATAATGATCCAGTAATATGACAACTGACAGGACCTGCTCTAGCAGCATGTGCTGTACTTTGGTACTTCAGGTACATTTGGACAATTCAGTTCTTTTACATTTAAATCAACAGCAGTTACATCCCACAGCCCACAGACACTACTGACTAGGCCTGTCAGCACCAGGTTCATCTCATGTATGTCACAGTGTACCAGAGTTTCACACCTGGTGTCTGTGGTAACAATCCCACACTGGTTCAACAGTAGTGATGTGTTTTAACCAGCAATGATTGGTTTGCCAAAGATGAAGAGAAGCAGTCGTCATGAGAGAGACGGAGAAGGTCTCAGCAGCAACTATGGTGGTTAAACCTAGGAGGGTTTTCAGGAAAATTATCTGCTGCTCCAGATGCAAAAGAAACTCCACATTTAGAAAAAGGATCACAGTTTTTTTTTTAATGAAAGGAAACGCTTTGTATTGGGATGCCAATTTAGGCAATGATGATTGAAATATTGTCTAAACTCCTTTTTTTTAGAGGACATTGACTTTTGCTTGCTTCCACTCAAGACAAAAACAAAATACAAGAATTCTGTTCGTGATGTTTTTAGTCATTGCAATAAAGAAATTAAACCATTGGAAATGTAAAAGGGAACGTATGCAAATGTCAGCGAAGAGTAATCACAGTTTTTACACAAGACCCCGAAATTCTTGTTCTCTGTACAACCTTTGGGGGTTTAAATTGTCATCAGCAGCATTTATTTGTTCTATACGATGTTAAATATTTCATAATTGCTGAAGATATTATTTCCGCGGGGAAGTGAAAGCATCGCCCGCATATTTAGTACGTCATCAGCCTGCGACAGAAACAGGTGAAAGGTCCCCTTGTGTTATAATACACTCAGGGAGCGCAGAAAGTGGAGGGTTTGCGGGAAGAATGATGAATGTAAATAGATTTGTTGTCTTGTCTAAAGCTTTTGGCGTCGGAAACCGGCTGCTGGCAGGTCGTGCGAGGCATGTCGGGAGAGAAGCGACCCTTCTTCAGCTGCGGAGGTCTTTTAAAACTCACTCCAGAAACCTCGCGTATGCGAAGGATTTGTTCCTCGGTCAGCTGAACAAGGTAACGTAGTTGACAAGAGAGCCAACAAAGTGGTTTTGGGCTTCGGTTTAGTGTAAGCAAGCGTTTATTGTGCTTCTGTTACCTAAATGTGAACCAAGCTAACCCCAACTGCGACCAGTCGTCCTCAAGCTAACCCCACCTGCCTGATAGGACCTTTATCACAACCACGATCGGTTTTATTGCCAAGAAGTTATCAAACAGCTGACGTGGTGTTTTGGTGCAGAACAGTAAACACTGACACGTTAAATAAGATTAAAAAGAATGCATATTTTAAGACAAGCAAGTGCTGGGAGTCAAATAAAAAATGTAGAAAATTAAAGCTTATATATAGGCAATCAGAATATATAAAATATAAGCATGTAAGAGAGACAGCTGGACGGATTTTTACAGGAATGTGCAAGTTTTCACCTCCAAAGTCTCACAGTTTGTAGTGTAACGACTTAATATGTGCAGAACGATAATAAGATAATAGTCAGCTTTGTTAATCCTGAGTTCTTGTGCCAGAAAGAAAAAAAAAGTGACCTAACATAAGAAATGCAGCGCATAAAAAGGAAACTGCAATAAGATGTAAGTAGGATAAATCTAGATCCAACAGTAAAAAGTAATGCTGGCAATTATACAGCGATAAGAAGTCATATCACACATGAAAAATGAAAGAAAAAGGAAATTAGATGTTGGATTGCACTTGAAAAATAAAATGAAATATTGCACATGTAATGAAAAACCTGAAAATGAAATGTTAGGCGTGATGAAGAAATCATAATAATCATATTTTTAAAGCTATGTGTTGATGTAACATATTGAGTCAATGCACAAGATACTTTATTCATCTTCTTGGGGAAATTCAAGGTGTCCAGCAGCTTACACATGTAAGAAAAATAGGGTGTCAATCATTCTGGTATAAGAACAAGTTAAGATGCACGGGGAAAAGAGCTAATGTTGCTGATACAAGAGTATTAAAAAGTATAAATTAAGTAAAGCAATAAAAAATCAGAAGCATGCAGAGGGAGTGCTTCGGTTCTGGTGGATTTAGGATTGTTGTCACTGGAAGTCAGCAGTCATGTGTGGGAGGGTGGAGGGAGGTCAAGCAGTGGCATTGATGGTCTCTGGCTCTGGTTGAAGCTGTTTCTGTGGTGAGACGGTGCTGATGGGTCGCAGCTTCCCACCAGAGGGTAGCGTCTCAACCAGTTTGTGATCAAGGTGGACGGGAACGGCTACAACCTTTGTCACACACCTCAGGGTCCTGGAGGCAAATACAAATATAGATTGTCAGCTGCATCACATGGGAGCAGGATCCACGCTGTCTGCCTACCACACTGACTGAATAGTCAGTAAACAAACCAAACTGGTCTAAAGAAAAAACTAAACATTGACACAGAATACATGAACTAAAATATAATTCCTTAACTTGCCCAACATGCGTCATTGTCACCTCCTGTCATGTGCTGCATCTCCACATCACGTGTGATCAGCCTCATTAAAGCTTCATACAGTCTTTGTTTTACACACATCTTGTGACTTGAACGTCTTCCAGCAGGCGTAACAGGCAGCTCACAGAACAATCAGAACAAAGCTGTTTGGGGCAGTTCACACGTCTTCATAATCATGACCTGATCATTTACCATTACATGTAGCTTGTATGATTATGTATTTCTATATTCATATTGAATATATATTCACCAGGTTAAAATGGCCTAAATGGTTAAACATGATTCTATTTTTCGTGTGCTTTAAACTGTAAGAGGGACTGTGCAAAAGTTACATTGTTATTTATTTCCATCTTCTCACATGTCATTGTTATCTAACGTAGCACCTTTAGCCTAAATGCTTTTCTACAAACCAACAGCTGAGGGGGCTGTTGATCCATCCATCCATTATCTATACACCGCTTAATCCTCACTAGGGTCACGGGGGGACTGGAGCCTATCCCAGCTGACTTAGGGCGAAGGCAGGGGACACCCTGGACAGGTCACCAGTCTATCAATTTACAATTTTACAGTTTCACTTAGCAGATGCTTTTATCCAAAGCAACATACATCTGAGAGTAGATCACGTTTATACACCAATGGCGACAGAGCTGCCATGCAAGGTGCTGCCTGCCATTGGGAGCAACTTCAGGTCAGGACATTTCGATGGTGGAGGTGCGATCGAACCACCAACCCTGCGATTAGAGGACGATCTACCACCAGCCGCCACAACCAAGCACATTCACATTCACACCTATGGACTATTTAGAATCACCAATTAACCTCAACCTGTTTTTGGACTCTGTGGGAGGAAGCCGGAGAACCCGGAGAGAACCCACGCTGCCAGCACTCCACCCAAAAAGATCCCAGGTGTCCTAACCGGGGATCTTGTAGCTGTGAGGTGATGGTGCTAACCTCTGAGCCACTGGGGGAGCTGTTGATTCATTTTTCTGTTTTTATTTTCAGCAAAAACCATTTCCTGCAGACATTTTTTTAGAGATATTAATTGGATGATTACAGAGAGTTTTTTACTTTTGCTGCACTAATTCAATAATATTTACAGTAGCAGTATCCCTCCAAGCAGGAACTGATTTAATCACTAGTTAGTGTGTTGCACTGCTGCTGCATGACTGGTGAATAACTTCAGTAAGCAGGTGTATAAACAATGCCCCCATAATCCACATTCTAGTTAAAGTTATTGTTTTTTTTGTGTTTTTTTTTTTCTTTTCTAAACCATTGATTATTTTCTAAAATAGCCTGTTTTGTCCTCCAGGCTGAGGTCTTCCCTTATCCAGAAATCAGCAATGAAGAGTTGGAGGAGCTCAAGCAGTTTGTTGCCCCAGTGGATAAATTCTTCAGTGAGGAAGGTGAGAAAGGAGATACATACACGTGAACTACGTCTTTAGCTTCTGTTTCTTCTGAGCCATTTGATGAATCGTCTGGTTTTTTTTTTTTTATTTATTTTTTTCAGTTGATTCAGCAAAGATTGACAGAGAAGCCAGAATCCCTCCAGAGACTCTCAATGGACTGAAGGAGCTCGGCCTGTTTGGAATCATGGTTCCTGAGGAGTACGGTGAGATGATTGTGTCCTGGATTGATGGCTGGGTTTGTCTGTAAAGTCCTCTCTAAGGCGTCTAGCTAGGGATCCTCCATATAACATTTCAGCATCAACAATGTGCGAATGCGCAATATTCACACAGGAAACACGATGTACAGTGAGTCACGTTAACTTAAACACAGTGGTTTTCCATGACTGATCTACAGGAGACGTTTGTCTGATGGAACTGAATTTACTCCGATATATAAGGGTTGCACAGTTTGCTAATATGCAGGCTCTGCTTGTGCAAAGCAAATTGAGTGAGGACCAGGAGGGAAACGCTGAAGAGTACGATTTGGCTGTAAAACATGAAACGCAGCATCACTTGAAAAACAGCACAATTATTGAAGTATTAATCAAAGTTATGATTTTGGCTTCCACAATTAAATTAACCTGATTGACTGTGATGTTGATGTTTAAAAACTCTGCTTAATAAAATTGTTCAAGTGGACAAAATCACTTGGTTTCAATCAGAGGAAATCTGACATTAAAACTCCTTATTTCACTGATTTTAAAGTAAACTTGGTCCCATGAGAGGCACCGATTGATTTTCCATGAAATGACCCAGTGAGTTTTCAGCTTTGTAGAGACAATACGGCCAAACAGGACAAACAGGTGGTATGACTTTATTTAGATCCAGAACTTTAGTTTTATATAACTGGGACAACTACGTGTACATGTTTTGTGTTGGTATGTTTCTATCCTTGCGTGAAAGTGCGCTGTGTGAACCTCTTGTGTATTTCTGTGAGTGTGATTGAATGCAGCGGTATTTGAAGAAGTGTCTTTATTGCTTGCATGGAATTTATCAAAAACACTGGAAGGATAATTCAGGTTTATTTCAACCTGGTGTATTTCCCCTTAATGCGACTGTTGTGGCTTAGTGGGTCATGATAACTTAGCCGACAAGTTGTCCTGCAGTTAGCAAAGTGCTCATTCCAGTGGCTAATTTCTCTGTTTATTGTTGGTAAGACTTGAAAGCAAACATTTAAAATGATTCATGTAAAAAACGTTTGTTTTTTGTTTTGTTTTTTGGGGGGCGGAAGCTGTAGTGAGATTTCAACTAGTTGCTTGAATATACTGCAATCGCACGCAGTTTTGTGTAACTTCCCTAAACCATAATTAATTGCAGGCGAGTTTGAATTGGGGAGTTTTATTAGCTTACAGTCCAAATGTGTTATTATGTGTCTTAAGAAACGTTTCTCGGAACATCTATAAGTAATGCAGCATGAGCTACGCATGGACTACAAAGACGTTTCCCCAAAACATCACTGGAGTTTCCACACACCTGACCTCATATCCACACTGCAACTATTTCTTGAACAAAGCGTCTTCTCTTTATTCCCAGGGGGTCTCGGCTTGTCCAACACTATGTATGCACGACTGGCTGAGATCACCTCATTAGACGGCTCTATTNTGAGGTTAATTGGTGATTCTAAATTGTCCGTAGGTGTGAATGTGAGTGTGCTTGGTTGTCTGTCTCTAAGTGTAGCCCTGCGATAGACTGGCGTTGTGACTGGTGTCCCCTGCCTTCGCCCTAAGTTAGCTGGGATAGGCTCCAGCCCCCTCGCGACCCTAGTGAGGATTAAGCGGTGTATAGATGATGGATGGATAACTGGGACAACTACGTGTACGTGTTTTGTATTGGTATGTTTCTGTCCTTGCATGAAAGTGCTCTGTGTGAACCTCTTGTGCATTTCTGTGAGTGTGATTAAATGCAGCGATATTTGAAGAAGTGTCCTTACTGCTTGCATGGAATTTATCAAAGCACTGGATGGATAAGTCTGGTTTATTTCAACCTGGTGTATTTTACCGTAATGTGACTGTTGTGGCTCTGTGACAAGTTGTCCTGCAGTTAGCAAAATGCTCATTCCAGTGACTCATTTCTCGGTTTAATGTTGGTAAGACTTGAAAACAAACATTTAAAATGATTCATGTAAAAAACCTTTGGGGGGAAAGCTGTAGTGAGATTTCACTAGTTGCTCGAATATACTGCAGTCGCATGCAGTTTTGTGTAACTTCCCTAAACCATAATTAATTGCAGGTGAGTTTTAATTGGGGAGTTTTATTGGCTTACAGTCCAAATGTGTTGTTATGTGTCTTAAGAAACGTTTCTAGGAAAATCTATACGTATTAAGTAATGCAGCATGAGCTATGCATGGACCACAAACACGTTTTCCGTAAAACATGGCTTGAGTTTCCACACACCTGACCTTATAGCAACTATTTCTTGAACAAAGTGTCTTCTCTTTATTCCCAGGGGGTCTCGGCTTGTCCAACACTATGTATGCACGACTGGCTGAGATCACCTCATTAGACGGCTCTATTGCTGTGACGCTGGCTGCACATCAAGCCATCGGACTGAAGGTGAGAATAAAAGAAGTCATGTCATAACACAGTTGTACATGAAACGTCTGTTTTAGTCATGAAAAAAACACGACACGGCGTCCTAACCGGGAATGAGGTTTTCGAGGTGATTTGCTCACAGCTGTCTGGGGTTTTAGGGGATTCTGATTGCAGGGAATGAAGCCCAGAAGCAGAAGTATCTGCCAAAGCTGGCCTCGGGAGAACACATCGCAGCTTTCTGTCTGACAGAGCCTGGAAGGTAAGGACAGTGAAGCCTCATCTACATCTCATTTACAGGGTTCCTCTCTGCAGCTGCATTTACGCTCCTGTTCACTTACACGACCAGGGTGTTCTCTATGATAAAAACCTCTCTGAGTTTAACATTTTTTTGTCCTTGTTCTCATCTGTATCAGTTTAAAGTTCCCACCCAAGAATAGCACTGATTTTTGCCGCTTATATCCAAAGTCTCCTTCTTACTCCGTGGCCACACTGACCTATACAGGCTGTTTGCTGCAACACTACTTTTCCACTATAATCAGTGACAGAAAAAAAGTCATAAAGTGTTTATATTTTTCATATAGTCAACGACAGGTAGACAGGAAATGACAATTTTGTGTCAAATAGTGCCCTTGGTCTCCCAGTCTGCATTTGTGTTGGGTCGCAGTGTGACTTGGTGTTCCTAATCTGGACTGATGCTGCCTTTGTGTCAAAGATAATATATGATTATAAGTGATTATTGAAATTACTTTTGTTCCATGTACATCAATGCACAAAGGTCGCCTGCTTTATAGATGCTCATGCGGGTGCTGCTATTGTTTGATGCTGCTGACACCAGTCCTGGAACACCTCATATTATCAGACTCTGAGAAATACTCAAAGTTTGATGGCAAACTGAAGCCACAACAATCCCAAGTTCAAAATGAAACCTTACACATGCTGCAGGTGTAGCCAGAAAATGGATTAAGTCTGTGGCACATGTGCTCCATAAGCAATCTGCATAAGTTTAATGTCCGGTGTAGTTAAGTGTTGCGGTAACAACCCAAAGCCTGTGACCAGACTATGTTTGGACACCTTCTAACCAAACACAAATGAGATTTTGCGTCACCATCTGGTTGAATTGGCTTCATTCACACTCATTTCAGTGGAAGCGATGCAGCCTCCATTCAGACCCGTGCGACCCTGTCAGAAGATGGAAAACATTACCTGCTCAACGGCTCCAAGGTGAGCAGAACAAATCTGGGCTTTAAATGTACGATTCTCACATGTGGCCTCCGTCTGACTAAATATCTAAATATCTTTCGATTTGTTTGTAGATTTGGATTTCAAACGGGGGGATGGCAGATATCATGACAGTGTTTGCAAGGACTCACGTGGACGTAGATGGCGAGAAGAAAGACAAGATTTCTGCTTTTATTGTGGAGAGGGCTTTCGGGGGCATCACCAGCGGCAAGCCTGAGGATAAATTGGGCATCAGGGGTTCCAATAGTGAGTCTTCCATGAACACTTAAACATGGTTTTGATGGAATTTCTGCTTTTTTATGTCATTTGTAATGAATTTTTAAAAAAACTTTCTTTTAGCTTGTGAGGTGTCGTTTGACAACGTCCCAGTGCCGCTGGAGAATGTAATAGGAGAAGTAGGAGGTGGATTTAAGGTGAGCTCAACACTAACTGTGGTAAATGACTGTATCTAGAATTAGAATAAAACTTTATTAATCCCTTCGGTACAAGAGTTCAGGGAAATTGCTATCTGCAGGGTTTTGTAAGCTTTTGCTTTCTGTTGGACAGATTGCCATGAACATCCTGAACTCGGGGAGGTTCAGTATGGGCAGTTCCTCTGCTGGGATGATCAAAAAGCTGATAGGTAGGAACCAGCTGAATAGAACCTTCCATTTGTGCGTGTTATAAGGTTTTTCAAGGCTTGACCTTCTCTCTCCCTCTCTCTCTGTAGAACTGACCTCTGAGTACGCTGCAACCAGGAAGCAGTTTGACAAAAGCCTAAGTGAATTTGGGATGATTCAGGTATGGTTATCCGACAGTGGAATCCAGTACTGCCTTTTAGTTGGGTCAGCAGTGATTAAATTACTGTGTTTTCTCATGTTTACTGCAGGAGAAGTTTGCAATAATGGCCATTAATGCCTTTGTGATGGAGAGCATGGCGTACCTGACAGCAGGCATGATGGACCGACCGGGGCTTCCAGATTGTTCTCTAGAGGCCGCCATGGTCAAGGTTGGACAGTTTTGTTATTTGACTTTGTTCGTATAAAGCCACTATCAAACAAAATGCCTCATGGTGTTTATTTTCTATCTTCGGTGCAGGTGTTCAGCTCAGAAGGAGGCTGGATCTGTTGCAGCGAGGCTCTTCAGGTCCTCGGAGGTCTGGGTTATACGAAGAACTATCCCTTCGAGCGCTACGTCAGGGACTGTCGCATTCTGCCCATCTTTGAGGTACAGTGACTATTATTCTGTCAGTAAACAATGAGAGTCATCGATCATACTCGGACTGATTCTGACATTCAAGTCCGACTTTAAGAAAACCAAAATGGCAGAGACTTAAAAGTATATCTTAATTGTTTATGGTGTTTTTACAGTAACTAATTAAATTACTTCGGACCCATCTACAAGGCGGCAATAGATTCCACTCAGGGAAAACTCAACCTTACTTTAGGCTTTTACTAAAAGATACAGAAATAGTGCAGTTCAGAGAAAGCTTTTCGAACCCAAGTCACGTCAATTTATAGTCTTGGAAGTTGTATGAACACAAATGCCGATCCCCAAAAGCCTAACTTCACCGGGACCATCGTCAAATACAAAACATTTTTAAACATTTTATTCATTTTCCACAACAAGGCTCTGTGCAGATAATCCCTATGATCCCATTTGTAGCCAGAGGCCTCAGGTGAGCCGACAGGACAGGATAGGAGCAAAGTGACAACATGTGGTTGGGAGTTTGAAATCAAGTATTTCTGAAATGTTGGGGTTTTGTTGTGCATCAGTTATGAAAGTGTCCACCAGGTGGCACATTTGACTTTGAAATCAAAGCCCTTGTATGGATGAAGTTGGTGGTAAATGATACAATTTCAGTTCAAGTTTATGTATTAAGGACCAAATTATAACATACAATGCATTTGGAAAGTTCACAGACAATTTTAGACAATTTTAGTCGTTTCATACTCTTTAATTGATTCAGTTCTTTCTTTTTTTTCTGATCAGTCCTCACAAAGGTTTTTGAAGTGTTTTGTTAATTCATAGACTAGAAATAAAACACGATAATGAAAACAACTAATAATAAAATAAAAGATGAGTTTACATAAGTAGTAGTAGTGCCTTCCAAAGCTTTTCACAGTGGTGGCCACATCTGATCTTTGAGTGGCACAAAAACAAAAGTCATAACTGGATTTTAGGAACTCTTCTACGACTAATACAGGCACAGTTAGTGTTTTAGTTCTTAGGGTGACCGCTGTATAAAATAGCCCCAAAGAAGTGAATCATCAGAGTATCTGAGGGAAAAAGTTCACCTGCAGAAAAAACATCCATAGTTTATTCCAACACTGAAAGTTCTGTCTGTGTGAGATCATAAACGACCAACCTACAGCGACCTGATCCTTAGATCCTGATCCATCCAGTCTCCATGTTGGCCATCAAGTAATTAATGACATCATCCACTGTGTTGTGCTGTCTGTAAATACGCTCATATGGATCCTGCTGCTCTCTGATGCTGCAGATGTTTCATAAACTCAGGAGAAAAACTCCTACAAACAGCTGGAAGCAACAAACTGAACTTTAAGCTCCTGTTAACGTTTTAGGGTCGGTGCGTGGGCCTCCAACAAACAGTTTGATTTTTGCACACTCAGGCTGCTACGCACAGCTGTTAACGGTGCCTTCACTTGCACTCAGACAAGGGAGTTGCATTCGCTAGACGTTGGACATCAGCTGATGGACTGGACTTGTCAGAGCTGCTTTCAGGATTGGAGGCGCCACTGAGTTGAGCTGTGGTTCATCCTACTCTTATCAATGCTTCTACTGTGTAATTAGGGTCCCTGTTCCTAATTTAATTTATCAGGCATCTTCAGGAAGGACATGCACCCGTCTATACAAGGTCTCACATGATGATGGTGTGTGTCAGAGAGACTGTGAGACAGATTTGTGTCAAAGGCACAGATCTTGGGAAGGATACAAGAACATATGTGCAGCATTGGAAGTTCCCCAGAGCAAGGCAGCCTCCATCAGTCTTAACTGGAAGAATTTTGGACTTCAGAGATCGGAGGACAACAAGGGCCTTGGTTAGACAGGTAACCAAGAATCCAATGGTCACTGTGAAGTTGAGATGGGAGAACCTTACAGAAGGACATCCATTGGTCCCAGCACTCCACCAATCAGCCCTTTGTGTTAGTGTGACCAGATGGAAGCCATTCCTCACTAAAAGGCTCATGACAGCCTGCTGGGAGTTTAACAAAAGGCACCGGAACAACCAAGACCACTAGAAGCAAAATCCTCTGGTCTGATGGAACCAAGGTGCTGAGCATCACCTCAGTAATACCCCCCCTGTAGTCCAACGCCGTCATGCTGGGATTTTATTCTGGGAGAAAGAGAGAGACTCATGGACTATTCAACATTGAGAGAAAGGTGTATGCAGGAAAATACAGAGAAATCCTGAGTGAAAACATTGTCCGGAGAACTCAAGCTGGGGCGACGATTTATATTTTGCTAAGGCCAAGGAAGCACAGGTGTGGCTTCAGGTAAACTTTGTGAAAGTCCTGAAGTGACCCAGCCAGAGTCCAGAACTCAAGAGACCTACTCTGAAGACACCACAGCAAAAAAAAAAAAAAGGTGGCTTTGAACCGACGCTTCCCATCCGGCCTGGCTGAACAATTCTGCCGAGATGAATGAAAGAAACTTCAAAAGAAAGTAGACAAACTTGTAGGATAATTATCAACAAGGCTGGGAGCTGTACAAGTACGAAGTGAAGCAGCTAAAGACTTGCACAAATCCAGTGTGATTGTAGAGTATTGTATAAAGACTGTTGAGGAAAAAAGTATTTATTGAATCCATTTTAGGAGTCTGAAACATGACAGTATGGAAAAGTGTCTGAATACTGTGTGACATCTCAGAGACGAGCAAGGTCAAGAGCTTACAGTATTATAGCAAAAAAAAACTATAATTTCTTTTTTTAAGCAGAGTTTTTGTGTTAAAAGTCTTTATTAGGACTCTCAAACATGCAAATATAATGTCGCATGGCTCCCTGTTTTGCCACAGTGCACACTCTCACCTTTACTTTGTATTCTTCATGTGTTGCATCACCACCAACATATTAGTAGTTTAAACACATGTATGACTGAGGCTGCTGTCTCTTTCACAGGGGACCAATGAAATCCTGAGGATGTACATCGCTCTCACTGGGATGCAGTACGCTGGCAAAGTCATCACAGGAAAGATAAAGTAAGGATGTGAAGGTTGTGTATGAAGCTGGATGTATGAATATATTCCAATAATAATAATATTGATGCTATGATTAGATTGGTTGTGATTTTTGTTGGATTTCAGGGCCACAACAACCTAAAAATCACACGCGTGTTTAATACATTGTCATTATTATGATGTAATGGTTTTAACTCGTGTGTTGCCTGTTCAGCCGGTACATAAAATGTTAAGGCCCATGTTTACCCTCCTCATTGCTGTTTTATTCTCCGGCAACTCCTGGGAAATAAATATCTGACTGTTTGGCTGCTAACTAGCCAACTTTGTCGGCTTTTTGGTTCGCAAAAAAAACAAAAAGTAGCTGGCTATAATGCTGATGAAAGTAAATTTGCAGACCAAAAAAAACAAACTATGAGCAAAAAGATACTGAAATCTTTGCAGAAATGAAGTGAAGCGCAGAGTCGGGTGTTGATTGAAACTACTTCTTTGTTGTTTAGAACCTAAAACTAAGTTCTGTAAAATATTTTGAACGAATTTTGAGAATTTTATATGTGTTCAGATCTGGGAATTTTTGTATTTTCACCCTAAAAAAATGTCTTTCCTGGGAAACCATTTTCAGGATCCAATATCTTCTAAAATATCACTCCTGCAGCCATGAAAGTTGGTGAGAACACAAATTTCCAGCAGTTATAACAGACGGAATGGCTCCAACAGAGGCCACATTTTTTATTAGTGGTACAATAAATAGGTATATGAGTGCCATCCATCCATCCATCCATTATCTATACACCGCTTTATCCTCACTAGGGTCATGGGGGGCTGGAGTCTATCCCAGCTGACTCAGGGCAAAGGCAGGGGACACCCTGGACAGGTCACCAGTCTATCACAGGGCTACACTTAGAGACAGACAACCAAGCACACTCACATTCACACCTACGGACAATTTAGAATCACCAATTGACCTCAACATGTTTCTGGACTGTGTGGGAGGAAGCCGGTGAACTCTAAGTGTATATGTGTGGTTGAATCAGTATTTCCTACTACACTCTTCTTTTGGCATTTCAGAAAGTTTTCCGGTGTCTACCATCAGTAGAATCTGACGTATTGCCAGCCAAGTTTCCTTTTTTTTTTTTGCTATGTTGACCTGCCAAAGTGGTGACGTGTCGGACCACAAAGCTGGTGTACATAGGTGTCTTTAGATATTGTTAGAAACTGCTTCCATGTTGTCTTCATACTGAAATATAACAACATATGAGGCTTATTTTTAAGTGAATGCTCTCACACATGCAGTTGAAATGACCAAAACCCAAGATGGTGGAGCAACAAACATAATCCTATATTTCATTTAGATGTCAATATCGGTTGCTGCTGCTTTGAATTTAGCATCTCTTTAGACTTACAGCTGCGTCACTTTACCAATGTGCTTGTGTGTAAATAATCTTCCCTGAATAACCAGCAGGCCTTTCTGTGCTCTGCCTCCAGGGAGATGAAGAAAGGGAATGTCAGCACCATTATGGGCGCAATCGGCCAGAGACTGAGGACCTCAATTGCAGGTCCAGCGGACCTCGGCCTGACCGGGAAAGATGGAGTGGTGCATCAAAGCTTGACAGTAAGAACTTAGATGAATACATACATTTTCTTTATTATTAGCAGGGTTCTACACAGGTCGGAATGAGATTTTAATGTCCTGGAGCATCTTTTACTGCATCAGGGGACCTTTTATGGCTCCTTTCATCCTCGTTTCCATGGACACAGGAATCAAAGAAGCCTCCACAGAGTCCATGACAATTCAAGAGACTAAAAAATATGGAGGGTATGGATCAGTAATATATGACTAATTCAATATGTAAAGGGAAATTACTGTGAGCACAGTGTGGTAGCAGCGGTAGTCTTTGTGCACAGATGTTTGTACAGCTTGAATACAGCGCTGTGCATTGATCTTATCTGATGTTGATTTGCATCCAGAACTGTACCAGGAGCTGCAATTGTTGAGCACCATTAAAGTCTAGATGGTCAGAAAGTGTTATAACATGTTAATGGCTGAATTATAAAAGTGTTTTTTTTTTGTTTTGTTTTTTTTACCAAATAAACATCAGCTGTTTGTACTCAGATGTCAAACGTGGAGCCTGGAAGTCTTGGAAAAGTTTGGAATGTTTAGTAGCAACCCTGTTTTAACTGTTTTGTAGCGGCTCAGCAGTTTCCTGTTTCTGTTTACAGGAGAGCGCAAAGAAGCTGGAGCAGAACGTCCACCTCTTTGGGTCGACTGTGGAGAACCTGCTGTACAGATACGGAAAGGTAACTGTTGATTGGTTCTTGGAAAGGCGGCTGTGGGATCTTCCTGCTCAAACGTTTCCGATTCTCATGAACAAATTTCCCGTTCGTCTTAAATGACAGAACGTACGAGTCGTTGGGCGACGATGCAGGATGTTCGTCTGTTACACAGCTGCTCCGTGATGTTCTCTTCTTCCTCTGTGACTGTACTGTTGTAATCACGGCTTCCCCAAAGAAGCTATAAACCAAAAAAAAAAAAAAAACAGCTGAGCTTTCCAAATCCTCACTTCCTGTATCGTTTGGCTCTGCTTTGATCCGGTGAGCTGGAAGTGTCTCCAGAGGCCTTCGTCACACTGAATAGAACATTTGCCAAATCGTTGAACATCTAAGCTCACAGTGGTTAAATCAATAAGCGCTTGAAGTTTCATGGTAAACAAAACATGTAAGTTGCTATTTTTTTCCTCCTTAAAAACAAACCCAAGGACACCAGGATGTTTTGGGTTAATTAAGACACATGAGCTAAGTGGAGGCAGCAGATCGTCCAATGGAAGAGTTTAGCTACTGCATGTGTGTATATGAGGAAAAGTCAACATGTAAATAATAATCCTCTAAACCCACAAGCAGTTTCTAGGTTTTATATTTGCTCCTGTCCCATTTTTACTCACTTTGGACTCCGTGAAATATAAAGTCCTGCACTTCTGTGGAATCATCACAGCCATAGATTAACGTAGGTTTAAGTTTAAAAAGAAAAAAATGTTGTTATGACAGTTATAATGGCATAAATCATGAAACATATATTAAAAAAGAAAGATGGGATCAACATGCTGCTCTTGCATTCGTTGCTCTGACAGGAGCCGACCGCCCTGTTCCCTGATCACAGCCTTTAACGTTTTACAGCTGATGAGAATCAAGACTAAAACTATGTGAGGAGTTATTTCCTCTATCATACGTACTGGTGTTCGTAGCTTGAAGAGGGTTAGAAAACACTTGATAGGTGGAAATGTGGGTGCAAGATACTTTACTAATTTGAAATTGGCAAGAAAAGTTTTTTAAAAAAGCATCCCAAACTACAGTCGTCCTCAAGTTTATTCATAGCCTCCAATTAAAGAAGGAAAAAAACAGTTGTCACTGAAATAAGTAGAAATTGAGAAAAGTAATAATAAATGAAAATTTCATGAAAATCATGGCATTGCTTTTGAATTGTGGTTCAAAAAAAAAAAAAAAACAAGCATGATGGGACTCGTGAACTAATATTTGTTGAACAACCCTTTGAGTCAATCACTGCAATCAAGTCTTTTCTGTACCTGCCCACTGCTCATCAGCAAAGTGCTCTAATTTGTCTGGGACAGTTTTGTTTTTTTTAATTATTCTTTTCAACCACAATTCAAAAGCCATGTTGTATTTCACTAAATTATAATTTAGCAAATTTTAATTTATTATTACTTTTTTCAGTTTCTAGTTGTTTGAGTGACTGTTGTGAATTTAGGTATGAATAAATCTGAGGACGACTGTATATACTGGGATGAGGTTTACAGTTAAAAAATTCTCTCCGCTAATAAATTGATCAACAAGTCACAAGTACTTTTTTTTTTTTCTCCACCAGATTGCAAAAACTAAAAGCAGAGTCAACTTTAACTGTTGTCGAGGTTGGAAAATGATTTAAAATTGAAGCGTTGTTGTTTGTGTCGTGATGTCAGACCATAGTGGACGAGCAGCTCATCCTGAAGAAAGTAGCAGACGTGCTGATCAACCTCTACGCCATGACGGCTGTCCTCTCCAGAGCCAGCCGCTCCATCAGCATCGGCCTCAGGAATCACGACCACGAGGTGTGTACATTTTACAAACACACTTTTTTTTTCTCCTCTGCAATATAAAGTCCTGCACCTCTAGAAACAGAAGAACCACAGCTAGAGGTTGAGAGAACTCAGAAATGTCTTCTGTGCCCAAGTCTGAACTACACATTGTCTTATTAATGGATAGACAGGCACAAGCTTTGGTACTTTGAGTTGTGTGAAGGGATTCAGGGAAGCTTTTTCCACATTGGAGCACCAGTATTCGCTGCTAACTTCATTAATTCCTTGTAATTATCAATGATCAATGATAGGGACAGGATTTGTAGAGGCTAAGATCAAAATGCAAATTGCTCTGTGTGGAGTCTTTCCTCCGAGGTTATTAAATACCTGCAGCATCAAACAGCAGCGAGATCCGTATGAGCGTCTCTACAGAGTTGTGCACATTTATGCACCAACAGTGATTAGTTCTAATAATAAATTATCCGTGACATGGAGACAGGATGGGTCAGGATCTAAAGCAGGAGTTAGATTATCATCACGCTTTAACAGAGTTTCACTGAAATCATTAATAAACTAGTCTGTTGGTTGTTTGAACAGTTTGATGAGCTGCATTTGAACATTTTCTATTTAAGTTGTCTATTTTTTTCTAATACATCCAACGCTGTTTAGAGCAGCCTTTCTTTTTCCTGCAATGACTTCAGAGCTGTGACTGTGTATAACATCATAACAGTGTGTGTTCCCTGTAATATGCTGGGGAATCATCCATTCTTTTGTTGCCACTTTGCAACACATCAGGTATAAAAAGTGGCTGTGCAGTAATTAGTGAGACCAGGGCATGAATAAGACCTGTGATGAGAGAAACACGGACGGTGAAACCAAGCTTTGCATGAAGTGTTGCTGTCGGGGTTAAAGGAAAGTAGAACAACCAGAATGCCACCAGGATTATTCCATTAAAAATCAAAGTGTTAAAATACGACCCTGTTAGAAACGACTTGGCTCGTTATCACAGTCATGACAATGGAGAAAAGAACAAGAAGCAAACTAAATCAAGTGAAAAACAGACTTCAAAGCTGCATTCGCTGATGTTTTATGGGCACAAATAGAAAATACAAAACAGACACGTTTCAAACTTAGAGGCTCCATATTGTGCACTTTTTCAGCAAATTACACAAACAAGTCCCCACATTGTGTCTTTCATTTATTTCAGCTTAAAGATGGTTCTGACTCTATAACTCGCCTCCAGTTGGCATAGAAATATTAGTGCAGTCACATCACATTTGTTGTTTCTAAAGCAGAATACAGAAAGCCTTTTATGTGGTACACAACAACAACAACAAGACAGGCAATAACTATAGACGTCTAAATAAATTCAAAATAAAATATTGTATGTAAAAGAAAAGTATAGAAGTACTATGTAAATAAAAAGTACTATGAAAAAAAGACATAAACTTGCCTAAAACCAGAGTAATTAAATAGTTTAAATAACAAGATTGCACATGAAATTGAGGAATTAAAGATATTGCACAGAAAGTAGTCCAACTCATTTGTGTAGCGAGTTGTTGGCTAAATAATTGAACATATTTTCTATATTTTGCCCGTTTACTCTCTCCGTTTGTCATCGTTTGAGCCTCCTGCCACCGGCTTGAGTCCTGTTTCCTGATCGGATTGAATTCTTTTAAATCATTTTTGTTATTGAATCAGCCCCTAAACACGAGGTTTAAATGTGTTAACGTGGCCAATTACAACATCAGTAATAATCCAGGGAGCATCCTAATTAAAGTCAGCGTAATTATCAGACTTGTTGTTATTTCGTGTAATTCGGTTTGGCTGTTTCAACTTACACACTGGAGTCTCATGAAAGAGATTAAAGCAGCAGCAGCAGCCTGTCACAACATTCTAATTTTCTCCCCTTTCTTTTTTTTTTTCCTCCTCTTGTTTTTTTGCAGGCATGTTTAATTAGACCTTTTACTGGCATGTGCAGACTTGTTAACTCAAATCAGTAGTCACTTTCATTATTTTCACTGCTTTATAGAGGTGAATGCGCTGCTGCTCCTTCTCGACGAGGAGAAGAGTTTTTATCAGAGCAGCTTTAGGTGAAGGACGCTAACCGTCGGACGGTCCTGCGTGTAATCAGAAACAGGGATGCAGGGCAAAACAAAACCTCCAGAGAAAGACATTAAAGCAGGCAGCGAATGCTTCGTATTATCCTCTCTTGTAACACTCTTCTGGGTTTCAGATGGGCAGCCATGTGCTGCTCCTCCTCCAGTGCTCCTCTCATCTGTAGCTACAGGCATAAATTGTCAGGATACATGAAGCCATCCTCCAGTTACGAAGCTTTCATCCTGTTTGTTTTCACTCTTATAAAAAACTTTGATCTTTATCTTTTCACTGTGAGCAGGGAAAGTGCTAATCTTGACAATTTTGCACTTGACTGATGGAATTGTGTGAAACGTTGTGGTGAAGTCGCATTTAAAGAGGCAACAGATATTTGCAGTTGTGCTGTCCCGGTTGGATTCACTCATGTTGTGTTTCTCGTTTTTCTAGGTGCTGCTTGCAAACACATTCTGCACCGACGCTTTCTTCAAGAACAGTTACGCGATGGTTCAGTTGCAAAAACGTAAGTGCAACACAAAAATGGTAATTGAGAACAGCCCCGTGCTCTTTGCTTTTTCTTTTTTTTCTTCTTTTCTTTAACAGCATCTCAGTACAAAAGACTTGCATGTGTTGCGGAATTTCCCCACCAAACCCCACATACCAACACTCCAACCCCCTGCTGCTTTTCATTTTCACACTGTGCGCATTTTTTTTTTTTTAACGACCTATATGTAATCCAGAGTTAACCGGTGACACGATCCACACAGATGAGAATGTTGTGTTTAACGTACCAAAGTGGCTTGTTTTGTAATTTCGCATTTCAATGTGTTCCAGACTCTCCGGAGAACAACGATGCCAGCATCAAGAAGATCGCCAAGGAGGTCTTGGACAGCAGACACTACATCTGCTCTCACCCTCTCGAAAGAACATACTGAGCTCTCCCCCCCACCCTAGTGATCGTAATACTGCTTCTACCGTATTCGGATTGGACAATGCGTTGCCTCACAGTCCCAGTGCTTACTTTGTTTGGCATCGATTCTACATTAAATTAATACATTCAGAGATTTACGGTGATAGCTGTGTTCTATTAACCTTCAAGAGAAAACACCTGCAGGCCTCTCCTCTGAAGTGCTCCATTAACAGGTATAATGAGCCATTGCACAAGATACTCGTTTTAATGAGCTCGTTTGATATAGAAGGTACAGTTTTTGCCGGTTGTAGCTTCTGCAGTATTCCTAGAAAGCCGCACACAGCTGATGGATGTGTCTTCATGTTAGCTGCACATCTTTGTAAAGCAAACAAGCTCATCTCCTCGGTCGGCTTGCACAGGAAAGAATGCTGCTTGCTGAAAGCAACAGAAAGGCAAATGACCACAGAAAGCTTTTTAGTGTTTTCTCTATTATCTGTTGATATTTTCAAAATAAAAGCTGTGACTTGAACTCACAAGCGGTGAGATGTACCTGGGGATGGTGGGAATCTTCTGCAGTCTGTGCGAGGTCTCCGTTTCCTCAGCTATGTCGTCGCCTAAGGTCGTCGCAGACAGCCGAGGAAAAGGCTGCGACACAAAACTTGGGTAGGTGTAGTGTCACTCTGTCCCATCGTCTTCTGGACCACCGTTTGAAGTCAGTCTAGCCGCAAGTATTTGAAATGCGAGTGAGACGAGTTCTTCGTTTAAAAGGTTTAATAAGAAATAAATACACACAATCACTCGATCAAAAAACTGTCTCGTCCAACGTCTGTGGCTTCAATCTAACAAATTAAGCCTCATTAGCAGCGTTACAGTGACGCAGCATCACTTGATTGGAAGATCAAACTCAAACTTCACTCCACAAACATGTTATTAATGTATAACAGAAACTTTATTCTCAAGTCCTGATGATGCTGTGACTTTATTGCAACATATATGTTGGTTAACACATACAGAAATAATTTTTTTATTTTAAAATGGTTTGATTACTGCCAATTAATTTACAATTGAAGGGCTTAGAAATAAGTAATTACTTAAAAAAGCAATTATAATTAAATTCATGACATAAAAATAATGTAACACCGTGTTTAGCCAACAGTAGCAGAGAATTTAAGCGTCCTAGCCAGTGCTACAGTAAGCTAATGTAGCATAGCATTATTAGCTAATGTCAGCTAGTTAGACTTTACTGCTGTTGAACTATTGTGTTACTGTATTAGATGATGGTGTGCAGAATTTATCACAACTCTTCTCTCAAAAATTCTACTGACATTGTCACACAGAAAAGTTTTTTTTGTTTTTTTTAAATAATCGATAACCCTCCGTATGACTCCCATGTAAACAGTGAAGATGAGTTTATTAAAGAGGCTTATTTTGTTCTTTCGTCATACCTCAAAACTACTCCTTCAGATTTAAAATGTAAAAATGATTTCAAGGTTATTAAAGTCACGATCATCCAGGAAAAGACTTGGAAGGAATCCTGACTATCTTGTTTGTTGAAAACATTTAAATACTTTTAATATATTTTAGAATATTGATCTGTTTTTAATCTAAAAAGAAAGAAACTTTGAAGAGGCAGTGTTCATGAGAAATAGTTTAGGATTATGCAATAGATGTATACTTGCAAATCATTATACATTTACCTTCATAAATACTTATTCTTATATGTCTTGAATTTTCAGTGAGTTTCTTCTCATGTGACACTTGAATTGTGGGACGAGGCCTTTTAGTCGTGGGTTGAAAGCAGCTTCTTCTGCCAGCGACTGTCCTGAGCTCTGTTTGCTTGGAGCTGCTTCTGCCGCTGAGTCTCTCCTGAGGATCAACAGCGCTTCCACTTAACTCTGTAGAACAAGAGCTCCACAGAGTTTATCCTCAAAAGTTCATAATGCGATTAAACCCAACCGCCAAGAGGTGGTTTTAACTTTCACGAGGATGAGACGAGCGCAACATGACCGACGTTAACTTTTGTGGACTGCTATCAGTCCGGTTCCTCCCTGAGCAGATTTATTCTCCGGTGCAGTGTGGGAGGCTTTTTCGCAGGAAAGACTTACCCTGACGTAGATCTTCACCATCTGGACCTTCAATCAAAACATATCAATACTGGCCTTCAGTCCTGAGACAAGCCCAGACGGTTGTAGGAAAATATCCACTCTTGGATACTCTGCCTGTTAGATTTACTGCATTTCTAGGTGCTGCAGGAGTTCCAGCCATCAGAGGATACATCATGTCATGGTTTAGTCAGATTTTTATCATCGAACAGAGTAAACTTGTCGTGCCAGCTGTTGCTAGATAAGCTTGTAAGTCTAGCTTATTACTAGTCTAGCTTACTATTGACAGAAGTGGCACGAGAAAAGTAAAAGTGTGGTACAGCTGCCAGAAATTCTTTTGGTCTAAAGAAGCGTTTCAGCTCCACCAGAGCTTCATCTGGCAAATGAGAAAACAGCAAATCATATATAGATCCCGACTTGTAAACCCCAAAATAGAGAGTGAGAAGGAGTGGTAAAGCCAGCACAGTATGATGTGACTTGAGTCCTTTGCTGGAGCCTTTCTACCTGTTTGGGAGTCCCAGCCCCTTATTCTTACCACTGGGACCACCGTGGACTTCACCTTCCACGTCTGTTCCAGTTGTTCCTTTGGCTCTTGGCACGTCTACATCTTCTTGATTTTGCAGTCAGCTGCCACATATACCAGCTACCCTCTTCAGCTTCTTGTCAACCATCAGATTGGTTAGCCATCACCTGTTTGTCAGTCTGGAAGTTGAAATCCCATTTGATCTTAGCTCGGTTGTTTCCAACTTCTATCGTCGGTGGGAACTTCTAGTCCATACTTGACACCGATGTTCCTGCACACCATCCCAGCAGCTTGGTTGTGTCTCTCTGTGTACACTGTCCAAGCTTGCATCTTGCATCCTGTTACCATGTGCTGGAGTGTCTGAGGAGCCTCTTTCTGCATCTGGAGTCCTGTCTGCTGTGATGGACAACTTCCTCTATGGTTCTGGTGCTCTGGTCTTGTTCTTGTGTCGCCTTGATCAGATTGTCTGCTCTGTCCTTCAGACCGGCCTTTTCCTAATTACTTAATATTTGGGACCTCCTTTGTCTGCCAGTGGTGCATCCCATGAGGCGACTTGGTCTCTCTCCTCCTATGGCCACCTTTCTATTCCAGCTGGGTATCTGGTAGGACGTACATGTTAATGGCTTGGATCTTATTGCTGCTGAGCTGACCTCTTACCCTTTGGAGGTATTTGGCTGTTGCTGACCACCTTGCATTCTCATCATGGCTCCATTTGGATTGTTCTGTTCTATATGCTATCATCCACCCCCTCAGTCCAGAAAACCTTCTCTCTGTCTTTGGGGTTGTACTTTCTAAAGGTTCAAGACTTTTCTCTAACTTTGCTTGATTGGTCAAGTATGCTAGTTTTTTTTTATAGCTCTATCGTCTTTAAAAACCACAAACACATTTTGCTTGTAGGTTTACAGCCCACGCAATGGCAACAAAGTCCAAACTTTGTTGTCCAGTGTTGGATGGCAGAATGGCAAGCTTTTGATGCTTTTGATGCTTCAACTTCCAACAAGTCTTCAATCTGTTGGGAAGTTCCAAGAGATGAGATTAATAAAACTTCCCAAATGAGTCCTCCCCAGCCAGGTGAACAGCGACAGGAAGTGTGCTAAAGTGTGCAAGGTTTACCATGGAGCTAAAAGTCCTCAGAAAGTTGATTCCAGGCCTATATGTCCCACTATCGGACATGCTGGATGTTCTCTCTCCGTGGCTAGAAGCACAGTGAGCAGCAGTATTACCAGCTACAAAGAAACACTATCATCAGATACCTCTGGAGATTAGTCAGATGCTTCAAATAGTTTAAAAATGTTATTTTTACCGCTGCTGGAACAATAAATAATTGAGCGGTCAGAGCAACTGAAGCAACGGCGAGGCTAATATTATTAGTCATGTCATATTACACGCTATTCTATACCTAACCTAAACACACCAAGCCAAGGGGAGAGAAGACAGAGTAGGTAAACAGGAATAAAGAAGTTAACCCTGTGCTATGAATCATGGGAACGCCAGTGAACAAAGCATTGCTTTTCCTGTGAAACCCAACACTGCTGAAGGATTAGGAGTAAGTATCACCTTCTCCAGCTCTTCCACAGAAGCTTTATGTGGATGTAGGGTGCAGTTTGGACTAAACTGCACCCCAGGTGGAGTCAGGTTTGCACTGTGGTCCTGCTGACTGCTGATAAACCACCACTACGGTCATCAACATGGCGCTACTTCTTCATCATCATTATCTTCTGTACAAGCTTCAGTGATAGTCTGGAGATATTCTCTGGTCTTTTTAGTGTCAACACATCTCAAGAAAAGACCAACATTGACTGTTCGCTTCTGAATTCTGTTGAAACAAAGTGAACTACGCTGCTTCACAGAGCAACACCTTCCTTCACAGCTGGTTCGTACCAAGAGCACACACGTGGTAGTTTTACTTAGTCCCATATACATCCTGCTGTCATAAACACTCACTAGAGCACCGAATGTGTGTTTATCTGCAGCTGAATACAGTCAGCGATTAATGTGCTGCTGTTAAGTAGCATTTAGGTAAAACTTTGTTGTAATTGCGTTGCATTATAATTACAGATTTGTTGTTGTTGTTGTTATTTTGGTCTACTTATGGGATTGGTAACAAAGAAAAAGTATAGAATCACAACAGCTTTATTCTTTAAATGAATGTTTATGCTGACCATGTGTGAATATGAATATGGTTTTGGATTTTTTTTCATGGCATATTTTTTTCCCATGTCTGTGTAGCATAAATATCTATGAGTACAACGTTGCTTGAGGTTTATGCTGATCAGACACAACATTTAAACCACCTGCCCATTATTGTGTAGGTCCCCTCTTATACCGTCGGACCCGTCATTGCCTGTTATGGCACCTGTGTGGGTGTTTTGTTTCCTATACAAGCAGATGCTGGTTATCTTTTTGGTCCTGTAGAGGTTCCATCACATTGGGGAGTTTTGAGGCCGGATCACAAACTTGTTGTCCTTGTTGTGTTTCTCAAGCTGTTTCTGAGCTTCTGTGTTGTGGGGTTTATTGTGCTGCTGCTGTCAGAGAAGGTCTGCAGCATTTAGTCAAAGTATTAATGCTGCAGCTGCTCCGTGTATTAAACATGACATTGCATTTGTATGCATTATATTATCAGTGCGTGCTAATGATTCTGTGCATTAACTCAAAGCAATCATGTAATAAAAAGAAATGTGGGCAGATTTTAGATACACGGTGATGGATTTTGAAAAATGTAAAGAGTTTTGATTTTCCTTTTGTATAAACAACAGTGGAAACCAAGAGACGCTAGTAAAGCTGGAAAAATACACAGAAATTTAAAAAAACATCACAGCATGGATAACAAATTGTTAAAATGTACTACATCTGTTGTTAATATAGCTACAATATAATTAAAAAATAATAATTAAACTCTTGTTAGGTGCATTAAAGCACTTAAGTTTTACAAGATTTGTGAGTCTTTGGAGTGCAAACTATTGCTTTGTTTTCTGCCAGTCTGTGATAATGCATCTGTGTTGTTTTGATAGGTTGTCCTGCTGCCACTAAATTGCATGAATACTCTATAGTTGGGTTACAACATGCAAAATCACAGGTTTCATGCCACTACACTACAAATTGTCTTAGTGATGAAGTTTTGAAGCACCAAGTCTCTAAAGTAGTCTTTCTCGTGATGGTCTCCAGTGACTCACATAGATGGATATGACTCACATCCACTAGTAGTAAGTCACAGACGCGTTTGAAGAAACCCAGGCTTGTATTGTAGATCACCTGCTCCCCCTCGCTCTCACTTAGCCTGCAAAACATCACCAACCTCCATCTCTCACTGGAATCTAAACACTCAGCTGAGCAGACAGTAATGCTGACAACTGTTAACACTGGCTGCAAGGGCAAGACACCATTCACTTAACGGGAACAGTCTCCTAATGTCTCCTTCCTCAAGATGTGCGTCCTCTTATGTAGCACATGGAATCCTGTAACAAAATCCAGATCCTTGCTCCCATCCTGCTCGAATGTCATTATGTCATTTGATAGGGATGTTTCTGTATTTTCCAGTGAGCAGGAGCCAGATGGAAAGTGGCCACGTTGAATCTGTGGATCTCAAACTGAGGAGCTGTTGTATCCAGAGTGGAAGATGATGCACACCGATGGATCATTAGGGGATTCCAGTAACTGTCGTTCTTAGCAACGACTGGGAAAGCTATCTCAATCCTGACTTTGGAGTCGCAGCATTTATTTGGTGAGAACAACTTTTCTTCACAAGCAGCAGCTCAGAGAGGTTTAGGTTTGCAGTACGATGAGTGTTGATGTCCCTACTTGTAAATAGAACTGCACCCCGCTGGATGTCAAATGTCCCGGTGTCAAATGTCGCTGGGGTTTTTGGTGCTTCTTCCAACTTTCTGTTACGATCCTGAACCGCTGCATCCAGAGGCTCACTGATGATGAACTCTTGGAGCTCTTCAAGCCAATCAGGATTACTCTTACATCTCTGTAGTCTGCAGTCTCTAAAATAAGATTGTGGTTAAAAACTGGTTTTAAAATTAACATTCATATTCCTTACAGCGGATGCTAGCACCATACTTAATATGCAGCACCACTGCAAAGTTCAAACACAGCCTCATGTCTGTATTTCTACTGTTTGCATAGAACAAACTGGAGACATCAGATTTGTGAGAGAATACATGTTGTAAATAAAACAGTGTTGCTTAAATATTATTTTCTTTGCAAAGACAAGAATGCAAGAAGGTAAGAGACTGTAGCAGTGAAGCTGCTTGAGATATTAATGATGTGCAAAGCTGTCAGCGAGGCAAACAGCAGCCACTCTAAGGGACCTAAAGTATAAAATGGGTTTAGTTGAGCGAAGTTGTGTAAAAAATAGTAAAAGTATAGACAAACCCTTAAATGAACAGGTGGGTGTGAACCTTTGCCAGGTGATGCATCTCAGTAAACACTTGCTGATACATTCATGGCACTAAACATTAAGGTGTCATTCAGTTAATCAGAAAGCCTCAGTTACTGAACCTGTGTGAGGTTTTGCGCTGATGGATTGAGGATCAATCAGCGTAAACACAAGTTAATATGAATTTATGGGGTACAATTTACAATAAACTAAGAGAAAGAAACATATAAAGCAGATACAGTGTCATGACCCCCAGCCTTGGCCTCAGCCCTCTCCTATCGCCCTCCTTGTCCCTCCCTGTTCTCCTTCTCTCTCTGTCAGCACTCATCAGCTCAATCAGTGACAGCTGCTGTAATTAACTCACCTGACTCTAATCACCACTGCTCCATCAAACCCAGCTCATCCCTCCACTCTCTGCCAGATCATTAACTCAGTTACCTGCCACCGCTGCCCAGCCACTGCTTCTCAGTTTCCTGTCCACCATCCAGTCCTGCCTTCAGCCTATGCCTGCCAAGCCCTGACCTGTCCTGTCTGATCCTGACTCTCTCCCCACAGCCGGTCTGCCCTTCCTCTTGTAGTTTTTTTGTGAGTACCCCCGTTTTGTTAACTAACATCAGCCTTCTGTATTTCGTATTTGATTCTGTTAGTTTAGAGATTTCTTTAGTGCTTTTTTAGTTTCACAGGTTGCTTGCTATTGAGTTCCCCTCCTACAGCTTAGATTTCCCATTCTGGATTTAAGTTTTGTTAATTTTTTAAAATGAACTCTGTTAAATCTTGATTTGCCTGTACTTGTGTCTGCACTTGGGTCCAAACCTGCTTCGTGACATGCAGATGTGCATCTCATTCAGAAAGTATGTCCAACCTGTTCCCACCATTTAAATACATAATGGCAGGATTCACTGATTTGAGACAAACCTTTGAAGCTGCAAACATAATTTTGATGAGTTGACATAATAATGTTGGTAACTGCATTAACTTAGTATTGTGTGACAAGCGTAGATTAGTTGATTTTAAAACTACATTCAAGTTGAGAACTTTTTCTCCCCATTTTCATTAAAATATCTTCGATGGTAGAGGAAAAGCAACTTCTTCTAACTCATTGTAGTTTGTTGGTTGAACATAATTTCATTACTTGTGTCTAGAATTAAAAAAACTAAACTGTTGCTTAGAGTCCAAATATTACTATTTAGAGTGTAGAAATGGCTCGTGCATTATACGAGGAGCAAAGCAAGGTGAACATTGTTCAGAAAGCTCTCTATATAAGCTGTGTTTTACGCTGCAAACAGACCACGCTGCTAAAAGTTCTGCAGCTGTACAAAGACAGCATACCTCCACTGCATGGCCTATTAGTCTCTTGGGCATCTTACATCTTAACAAGGTCTAACCCACGTGAATGACAAAAGTTTACACACCTGGTGGCAATTATACTCCTGCAAAGAGACCGTTGTAGAAGGCTGTGTGTGTGTGTGTTACTGGTTAGGGACCCCTGGTTGTGGATTTTGGGGGCAGAGCTAAATTCAAATCTGCTCTGTCTTTTTAACACACGCCTCATTTCAGCTGCGCCAGTCTGCTCCAGAGCAAGAGCGCAAAACGCACCACAGGATGCTGCAGGAAGAAATGGAGTAACTCTTCTTCCGTTTTTTCTTTTTTTTTCTTTTTTGGAAATATGTTTCCCTGCAGAAATGATGGATGCAATAGACTCCATTGATCCATACAGCCGACCAGCGCGCAGGACACAATGGATAGTGAGCACTTTGGCGTACCATTACGGACTGGACCGGGGAGTGGAGAACGAAATTATAGTTTTGGCCACCGGCTTGGATCAGTATTTACAGGAGATTTTCCACCACATGGACTACCAAGGTGGAGGCAAAATCCCCGTGGAGGACTTTAACATCCTGTGCGAAGTTCTGGGACTGAACAAAGACTCGTCGGAGGACACGGAGTGCGCCGGCGTTTTGGACAATCTGCCCAGCGAGCTCACGTTCAGGCACTTCCACGCGAAACTCTGCGGATACTTCAGCACCAAGGCCGGCTGTCAGTATGAGAACGGCCGGCTGCTGGTCGGCATGGACAGCGAGCACATAGAGACTCAGATCCGCCTCAGGAGCCCCCTGAAGCGGCGAGAGAAGCTGCTGTCTGTGGGCGCCAGCGGCCGGTCCTCCCCTTCCCCGGAGGGACGGCACGCCTCCGGCTGCAAGCTCGGCTCCTGCACCCGGGAGTGCTACGAGGAGATCGTGGCCCTGGAGGAGGCGGAGGACCGGATAGCCAAGCTGGAGGATGAGAATGCGAGTTTGAGGGAGCTGATTGAGGACATGCGAGCTGCGCTTCAGAGCAGTGATGCCCGCTGCTTGGCTCTGCAGGTGAGAAATGCTGGAGGTTGATCCTGTGCATGTATTTTTATTTTATTGTTAGACTTTAGGCTTTAGCAGGGGTGCTCACTAAACTTTAAGAAATGGGGACTCCAATCAACCCTTGCCACCAACTCCTAGTGTAGTTATTTCTTATGCATGATCTATAATGCATTAATTAATGGTTAATAACTGTTAATTAAGCCAAAAATCATCAGAAACGGGTGGGATTACCAGCAGGTAACATGTGGCCCCACAGATTGATCTCTCTTCAGTGGATGTGGCAACTTCTTTTTTTTAATATTAGATTCAACTTTGTCATTGCACAGAGTACAAGTGTAGAGTAGAAATACTTTATTGATCCCTAAGTGGAGATTGTGTTGTGACAGCAGGAAGCAGAAAAAGTGAAGTGACCACAATAGCAAAATATAATATAAACATGTCCATCCATCCGTTATCTATACACCGCTTAATCCTCACTAGGGGTAATATGAATGTAATTGAAACATTTACTAAATTGAAAAATGCACCATAAAGCACTAAGATGACAAAATGCAGTCAGGCATGTAACCAGAAGTGCAAAGCAGCAGTTAAGTGTATTATTTACAGTATGGTATATACAGTATACACAGCATGGTATACACAGTATTACAGTATACACAGTATGGTGTATATACAGTACATTACAGTATATACACAGTGTGGCCAGAGTGCTATGAACACACTGATATATAAATATGTGGATCTACAGGTAAATATAAAAGTAGTCTGAGCAGTAGTATAAACAATATTAATGCTATGAGATACAGTATGTATACAGCAGGAATAGCAGTATGAACACTATAAGTACTATAAACTGTTAAGGTGTTTCTACTACACCACTAAATATGATGTGTTAATTGTGAACCCTTATGGGAGTCTAGTTTGAATAAATCGGCACCAGTATTGGACCTGGTTGCAACTTGGAACCCGACAGGGATCGTATTCAGACAGCAGTATAATTGTGGGTCAGTCACGACCCCTCAACAGATTAGTTCATCTCTGGTCTTCTGCATTTGACCGCTGTAAATGTTCATGAGGTATAAGGTTTTTAAGATGCTCTCTCAGCTCTGCAGATGTGAGTATTACTAAGTTGTTGCACAGATTCCAGCCCACGTGCCCTGCAGCCTCTTAAAGAGAGTAAGTGGTCTTTGTGGGGGTGAACTGCAAATGTGTGCTGCAGGAAGGGAAATGCAGCTTCAGAGCTTTTCAACATTTCTAAGTGTTCACGCCAGTATTCATCTTTAATTGCAACATTACTTACAACTTAAAAAGCTACTAAGAAGCCCATTACCTGTTGCTTATGAATCACTGATGATTCCAGACACAGACAGGATGACTTTCACTTGGATAAAACTAATAATATTGACTATTAATCACAGTGTAGCTACTTTTATTGATAATTTCATTCACATTTACAGCTGCAATTACAGATTATTAGAAAGTAAAAGCTCCAATATCCTTCGTTAATGACTTTTAACTGTGCATATGATGTTTTATTAGAAGAGTGTATGATGACAACAGATATTTTCAGTTTGGTAACCCAAATGTTGTTCTTATTAGTGATTTATGAATGAATCCTTTAGTTTCAGCTTTAAAATCGCACCAGAACTGTACTTGCTTAGCCACATTTCAGTAATTTTAGGCTTGATCTAGTCTCCTCAGGACACCCGTTCCTTCTCTCTTCAGGTCGGACTGTGGAAAAGCCACTCCAAGCACAAACCAGAAGAAGGCTGCTTCATTGCCCACCAGAGACAAGCGGCCCAGAAAAGTGTGGCCGACACCAACGTGAAAAGCAGCACCTACACAGAGCTGAAGAGCTTGCAGAACATTATCCATGAGATCGAGCTGCTTCGTAGCTCCAGAGACCGTCAGGTGGAGGAAGCCATGCTGTCTAATCAGAGACTGGAGCAGGAGCTGTGGAGCTCTAAAGAGGCCATGGCCGCTCTGGAGGACTGTAACCGGGCTCTGAAGAGGGAGCAGGTGGGCATGAGGAGGAAGGTGGAGGAGGCCAGACAGGCGCTGGTCAGTGGACTGGGGAAAGTGAAGGACCTGGAAGCCAAGGCCAGTCATGTGCCAGCGCTGCAGAGCCACATCCTGCAGCTGGAATCGGAGCTCCTCTTCTACAGGTAAAAACACTGGGAACTCACATCCACATGCAGCATTTTGGAATCCACAAGCACAGCTTCATTCTAACACTTTGGCAGTAGGATAGTGGGACACATTGCCACGGCTCAGGAATTTGTCAAGACTCCTCCTCGACACTCACTGCACCATCTTGACTGAATTGCCATTTTATCCTGACATCGTGTTTGTTTTAGCGGAGTTCTTGTTGGGAGGGGAAAGTTGCCGCAGCAGATGCTCAGAGCAGCCAACTCGCAGATCCCTTCTCAAGTCTTTTTCACAAACACAATTGCGTGGTAGAAGCTCATAAAGTGTTTGCGACATCTTAGGTTTTAGATCCTGCTTCATCTCTTCATTGCGACATTTGTTGGTGCAATTGCAGCCACCAGTTGTCAGTCAGCAGAACGGCCTGAAACAAGTAGCAAGAATGTGCCAGCATGTTTGTGCCCATCACAAACAAATTATAAGGAACTGGATATGGGAGTGAAAGGCGTACCCTTATTAAAAAGAAAGATATGCACCTGACACATAATCCAAAGAAGGTTTCTATTATGGTTTTGTTTCTGCATTGGGTGGTCCACTGCACATATGCATTATTGTTTCCTGTGCAGGACCTGCCAAAAAAGTACCTAAAAAATTCTTAATAGAAAGAAGCAGCCACGGAGAGATACAAACCTACCACAAAGAGACACAAAATGACCAAAAATAGATGCAAAATGACCACAGAGAGATACAAAACAGCCACATAGAGACGCAAAACTACAACAGAGAGGCAAAATGATCAAAAATAGACGCAAAATGATCAAAAATGGATGCAAAATCACCACAGAGAGACGCAAAACTACAATAAAGAGACACAAAATGACCAAAAATAGACGCAAAATGATCAAAAATGGATGCAAAATGACCACAGAGAGACACAAAATTACAATAAAGAGACACAAAACGACCAAAAATAGATGCAAGTTGACCATAGAGAGACGCAAAACAGTTACAGAGAGATGCAAAACTACAACAGAGATGCAAACCTACCATAAAGAGACTCAAAATGACCAAAAAAAGATGCGAAATGACCACAGAGAGACACGAAACAGTCACAGAGAGACGCAAAACTACAGCAGAGACACAAAACGACCATGAAGATGCACTTTTTAATAATGGCTGCCTATAGGAAGAATTTTTTGGGGGACATTTTTTTTCATTGCCATACCACAAATGACCACTAGGGGAAATATATCAATAAAATTCTATTCTGTATGCACCTGAGTTAAGTGCTGTGTCCGACAAACAAACATTGCTCAATAGTGGCTCACTGACTCTTAAGTACTTATAGTATTCAGCAACTGTGAATCCCTTGTCAGTCTGGAACCAGGCTAATGCTACATGGTCACAGCCTAAACATTCCTCAGTATGCTTCAGAGAGAAGGCTTGTTGAATCATGTTACAACATCTGAAACCACCTTTTACAACAGCTGAACTGGGGTGACTTTTTTCTGTGACTTTACCATCACATGCATCTTTATGCACCAATTGGTCAAGTGTTTGAAAGTGAGCAGGCAAGACTTCCTCCATCTTCCAACTACTTCCATCACTTCAGGTGTGTACAACTAAGTGATAAATTCAGTCAAGAAGCGACTGTCCAAAGGTCTGATCTGCTATTACCATTTGTACAAGAAACTGAATTTTTGGAAAGAGATCGAATAGGCAGTTTGGCAGCAGGTATAAAAGGTTTTGGCTTTGGACGTCATGTCTTACAAACTAGGTTGTGCGAGACGAAGATGGGACCAGTGAGGATAGTGAAGTCATGTCTTTGTTTTGTCTGGAAACTTTTAGGAAACACAATTTACAGACAGGAAACCGAATGAATTTAATAAATACAAACAATCCAAACAGCTAGGACAATAGCAAGGTGTCCATTCAACTGTACTGCAGATTTTAAATGGCCATTTCTATCAAGTATCATCGGGGCTTGGTCAAGACAGCTGATGGAGTTGATTCTCAGCTGCTTTTACATTCGTGTTGGGTTGATGCATGGAAAGAAACGGCACTACAAGGTCACAGACTGAGTGCATAAATTAGACATAAACCTCTTTTAGGTTCAATCATCGGTCAGATTCTGAGCTAAACAAGTGTCAGACTGTTCACGGTGTCATGTGAAACAAGGGTTTGGTTTGGCAGCTTATTGCATTTGGGGAGGGCCTTCTGCGGCTTGAATCAACCGTAATGAATTATAATTCCCTCTACAGTAGAATAAAATGACTCTGTTTACCTCTGGCTTCATGCCTGGAAAGCTCTGCCATGCTATTTGCGAAGGCTTGATGTGGTTTGCTGTTCTAATTTTCAGCCTTGTTGTGCTTTTAGTTTATTGAACAGGCTTCATGTGTGGCGGGCCGGTCCTGCCTGAGCTCCGCTGCTGTTAGAAACTACTCATTGTGGTGGAAGTAAGGGTGTAATTGGACTTCTAGAGTACAAAGCCATTGGTTTAATGTTTATCTATGTGTCTGTTGTCTCTGCTCCAACCATATGATCAGTGTCTGCAGGTCTGGCTGTCTTAGATGGCAGATGTCTCTAAATGCTTGTAGCATCTACATAATGCTGCTATTATGGAGTCTAAGGCAGTCGAGGGCAAACGGACCTGTAAAGTCCCCACCGCTACCTTATTCTAAATAACATTTAACAGCCACAGTACCTTCGCTTTAACCCTAAATTCCACTAATCTATGCGGACTGCATTCCAAAGTCTTTTCACTGCCCGTCCATTGATGCCCTAATGGCAAATAATTCAACACCACAAAGGCAAGCGAAAGCTCCATTGAGTGAAACCTCAACAGACTGACTGTTCTCATCAGTCTCTGCTCCCAAATGAACAATACCACATAGGCACCCCCATCCTATGGATCTTAGCAACCAAGCCCCATGAATTTTTTTTTCCCCCTGGAAGCCTGAATGCTTACTTTAGTCACATGCCATCGAAGCACAGTGTTAGAGAGGAAAATGCCAGGTGAGGTGTTATTAATATTTGAGAAGGATGCAATGACTTTTTGGTCTCGTTTTACGTCTTTCTCCAAAACTGTGGGACTCTGAGTTAGCTCAATTACTCTTTTTCAACATGCTGTCTCAGTGTGACAAGTTGGATTATATAGGTTTAGAGACACAGTAGTGTGTCAGTGTATGCTCTGCTGAAATGATGACAGGAACTTTATCCCCACGACTTATTTAAAAAAAAAAAAAAAAAAATGCTGTGTCATGTAATGAGATGAAGTCAGATGCTGCTGAATTGTAAGAGAAGGCTTTTAATGTAACCCCTAACCCAACACAATACCAACATGTTTTTGATTTTAAAACATTTAAAGGAAGAGTTTGACACTTTGGAAAATGTATTGATCCATACTGCAGCAGGATTCCAGTTGAATTAGAGGAAGATGCCAACATTTGCACCATTTTGGATGCTCTAATTTAAATGAATAAAGTAAAAAACTAACATGGAATAACGTTTCACAGTTGAGAAGGTATCTTACTTGTTTTACTGTTGCAAGTATACTGTACCTAACTATCAGACAAGCTAAGATAACAATTAAGTAAAATAAATTGTTAAAAAAAAAACACGCTTTCCATTTTAATTTCCTTTTTAGTCCATCCTCGCTAAAACAGTTCTTTATACATTTCTCTAAGATTATGGCTAAAGTTGTGTTGTTCATCTCTCTTGCAGAACTATGCAGCCACAAGTCATAGTGCATATATATATATTCATTGAAAGTAATGTGACTTAAAATGTAAATATTAGCAAAGTATTTTACTAGAAATGCAATTAAAAAATAAACTACGTAACCTAACAAAAATGTATGTGATCTTTGAACTTTCTTTTAATGAAAGTCTCCAAATTTCTGACCAAAAGTATAGAACAGGAGCCAACTAATAGTGCTTTAAAAATACATAGAAATTAAATAAGGCAGTATCAACACAAGAGCATCCTGTGTCATCAGGCCTTGTCAGACCTTTAACCTTGTCAAAAAATAATCCTGACAGCTGTGATGGAGCTCAGGACTCAATCTGAAAGCCACCGCTGTGTAGAAATTGATTCAATTATAGATTATAACCTGTGACTGTGTGTGTGGCTCAGTAATGTGTCGACTTTTACATAAAAGTTATCAGTGTACTCATTCGGGCACTAAGTGCACATATTCAGATGCCGTTAATACATATCTGGCATGTGTAGCCAGTGAAACAGCTGGAAAATCAGTGGAAAAGTCAACAAGGTCTGATCATTTTAATAGTGAGTTTCTGCACTTTTTGTTGCGTTTGCACAGAGCCAGGTGACCTACCTTTCCCCCTCTTATATATGCTAAGCTAAGCTAGCCAACTGCTGTAGGTAACTTTCTGTCCAGTGTAACGTCATTCAAGCGGTACCGGTCCTTTCAGTGTAACTCTTGGCAGCAAAAGCCAAGTATGGAGCTCTTCCTGTACTGTGTGTGATTGACTTTTCTGTGTTTTTTAGCATTTGGTAGTGTGTTTTTTTTCATGTAGAAAATCCCCTTTCAACTTTCCATCAACTTCCCAGCAGAAGTCTGTTTAAAAAAAAAAAAAGTGGTCTTCGGTATGAAACTCCATCGGTGTGTGGGTGTTGTTGCGTAACATGTCTGTGATTGCTTTGGATTGAATGCGAGCAGAGTCAGATGGGAGCGGTGCCTTCAATGGGACTTAATCAACACAGGAAGGCCTTTGTGTAGCTGTGATCGTCTCCAAGTGTTACTTTCAGTTCTGTATTTCTTTCGAGCTCCAGAAGGTAAAGGGAGCCTAAATCAGTCAGTGCAGTCTATAGAGCTCTGTGGGCCAGAAGGATTAGACAATAGGAAGCACAGCGAGGGGAACAAAAAAAGAGATGAGGGGGAGGAAAGCCTACCATCTGGAGGAAGAAGCAAACACTCGACTGTTTGTTCATGAAATGATGGACATGTTTTGCAAAGAGAGGAACGGCTTCATTCATCTTTCTTTTTGCGCCCTGAAGAAAAGACTTAAAGTGGCGAGTCGGAATCACTCATTAAAAGGCAACTTTCATTCAGAACCTCTTTAGTTTTATTATCCCCTTGATTCTTGCTGTCTCACTTTATACAGTCCAGGAATTTCCAGACCGATACCCGGGCGCATGTGTGCAACTTTCAAACTCGCTTTTCGTTTTTTACCAGCACGCCTGCAGCCTTCTTCTCTGTATGGCTCTAACCCCGGGCCCTCTGAAGGCAGGCCCCAGGGGAAGCATAATCTCCCGGCCTTTTCATGCTCCCCGCATGGTGCCTGAGAGCGGAGGGGAGAGGAGGGTTCCTGCAGACCATTTATCTGCCTCGGCACAAGAGCTACAGCATTGTTTGGAGCAGGTGCTGTCACGGCACTCCTGCCCTTTAAATAACGTGGAAAGGACACAGTGGAGGGACGTCTGGGACCTGTGGCATTCTGCTGCTGTTGTTCTTGAACAGCCTTCAAAACCCCCACGCTGCCAAGTGGTCTCATTTTCACACTGAACTGCTGCCCCGCTCTCCCTCTCCCTCTCTCTCTGGTTTTGAAGGTATGCTGACATCAGCAGAAATACATCACACACAAAATATCTTATAAACTCATGCCACCCACCCTCACTGGACTTTTCTCCCACTGCTTTTAATACCCTCGTTTGTTTGACTTTGGGGCTTTCTTTGCACTTTGCTTGCTAAGGAAAGCTCAGCCACCCTCTGTAAATGTTACAGCCATTGGTTTTTGGATTAAGTTCTCAACCGGCGCTAAACAATAATCACATCCCTGAAGCTGCCTTATTTGCTCCTCAGAGACCGACTCATTGTGCGAGCGCGACCCAAGAGGACTTGATTAATAACTGTCAGCTATATAAACAAGACCCCCTCGCCCGTCCCCGTCATGCTGCAGGGCACCAATAAGCAGAGAGCTTCAAGTTCAAGCTCAGGTTTACGGCGTGCCCTCATTTTTAACCTTTGTGGAGAAAGGAGCCTGTCATTGACCGATGACACCTGAAAGAGGAAACTGCTCTAGTGGGAGTGGAGGAGGGTGAATGTTAATGGGGGGGGGGATGTGTTGATGGAAAGTTCACTTGGGTGTCACGCTGTGATAAACACAGGGAGACTCTGGGTGTCCCTGCTGCAACAACAAACAGCGAGACGACCCCCACGCAGGCCCAGAGAACAGCTGTAAAGTTCTGCTAATGGAATACAGGATGCTATCAATTAGAAATGCCCTGATGTGGCGCAACAGAACTACACGGAACAATGTCGTGTAAGCGCTTTTCACTACCAATGGCTTAAATCACACCAAGAATACAGCAATCTAAAAATTACAGCATGGCACAGAGTTCTTCATTTGTTTGTTTTCCTTGAGCTTCTTCAAAGTTTCAATCTGATTTTGTCTTGATCAGCCAAAAGTTGCCGTTGATACAAGAATCTGATTTTTTTTTTTTTTAAATATGAAAAGGAAATGTGAAACTGATGAACCTACCTGTTGAAACCATCAGTCTTGAGTTTCCAGCAGCTACGTTTGACTATTTGTGCCTTTATTCTCCTTTGTTTAGATCATATTTCTTTTATTCTGTGTTCAAAATGCTAACTTTTGCCAAAGTTGTAGACTTAAGCTTAATTTGTTTTTTCTGGCACTTGAGGGCAGACGACGATAAAAAAACATATTCGATTTACATAGACAGTTGCTTTTTAACGCATCTAGAAGACTCAGAGCAATGTTTGCTGTCATGTGTCTAGTTTCCTCTTTTCACTCTGTTCTGGCCTTGATTTCAGGTAAATATGGGGCTCTATAGGTGCTAAATGCTCAATACTCTAACCAGTTAGTCAGTAACTCTGCCTTTCGGCTGTTTGGTGCTGGGAAAATAACATTTAATAGCTTTTTTTTTTTTTAAACTGAAAATAACCACCAAAAAATCAACAAGAGCAGCAAAATGGTGAATTTAGTCTGCAGAAGATGCTAAAGTAAAGAAACTGCAAAATATTAACACAATTCCTTTCACATTACAGGCAGCTGTTTGATTTTTATTTATTTTTTTAATGAATATAGAAACATTCATTTGTGCAACTTGAAGTTTTTCTTTTGTGCACAAAATGTAAATGTTCCCTCTGGCTGAGGAGGCATTTTAATCAGTATGAGTGCATATGTACCATTAAGCTTTGCTGCCGCTTGGTGCTGGGAAGGTTGCATACGATGAGTTTATCAAAGCTTTTTCACAGAAAACTAAAGCCAACAAAATTAGACCAGTGACAGTGATTAAAAATGGCTGCAGAACCAAAACACACAGCTGAAAGATGCTAAAATGTTCCACAGAGCTGGGACAACCTTAATCACATGTTAATTTTTCATTATGAGTGAGTCTTTTCACATAAGATATTGACATTCGATATATTCTTGCTATAAAAATATTGACTAGTGCGGCTTTAACTTCTTGCTGCAGAAATTGTTTCATATATTAACTAATGTGTATCGTGAACATTTACCATCAAGGTAATGAGTTCAGTTTGAACAGTTTTGTCAGTCACATATGCAGAAACACAACACTAATATTATACTTTGAGTCTGCAGTGTATTCTACCTTTCCTCTTTCTCAGCAAAAATGAGTAAATAGATTTTTATTTTGGCAGGTCAAACATATCCATGCTGGCACATTTTGCAAAGAGCGCCGTCTGCTGAAAAGCTGATCACATTTAGTCTGTGTCTGCTGCATCCCACAGTCTAACCACTATCCAAGATGTCTGCCTGGACTACTTTCAGGTGACACTGCTCATCCAGTTGGAATTCCCACAGTCAGCAGCACCAGAACCCTTCATGGTACCCCCTGCTGCCAAAGCGTGTGATGAGAAACCTTCAAATATCAATTCTAGTGGCAAAAAAAATAGCTTTCAGTTCAGAGGTGCCCCTGAATCCTGTGTGCGTGTCAGAGGCTCGATCCAGAAGCCGTGGCCTCGCTACTGCTTTTCTGCAGCGTTTATTGGACACAGGCTGCAGCCTTCGTCCAACCACTGTCAATTAAAGAGCAATTAGTCACACCGAGGCCTGCATTTGAAACAGCCTCATTCCAGAGTCCGAGTGTCTCCACGGCAACCAGCAGAGTTTTGTGTGTGTGTGTGTGTGTGTTCACGTCCATGTCGATCCGACTGCCGGCCTTCATGAACCCACCTCCTTTCCTTCACGGCGGCCCCCCACCGTAACTTAAACACAACTCGCTGATTGATTGTTTGAAATCAACGCTGCAATTATTGACCTTCGCTGAAATCATGTGTTTCTTTTCCAAGGAAAGCTGCAGCAGAACCAACGTATGATGTCGTCTTACGGCACCGTCTGCCTCGTGCCAATAGGATATAAGCATGAGTGCTCTGAGACTTTTTTCCTTTTTTTTTTTCAGACAGCGAGGCTGCTGAAAATCTTTTCGAGATTTTCTCTTTTTTTTTTTTTTTTCCTTCAGCAAGACATCATCATCTGGAAACACTTATTCTGTGATTTATGAAGGCCCCCTATCGGATTTCCCCCCAACACAAAAGAGCAGACAGCAGAAGAAACCTAGAAAACTCAAACCATTACAGAACGATTGATCTGCCCAAACTGCAGCCTCAGGTTTTTTTTTTTTTTATATCTGGAGCGAATGTTTGTATGTGACATAAGGGAATACATGAAGTATAAACTAAAAGAAATACAGATTTATTTTTTCATCTGCAGATCAGGAGACGCATAACTGTGGTTTAGAAAACTGTATGTTGCTCTTAAAAATGTCGTTTCCTTCAGTGTGTTTTTACCTCTTGCAAGCCGACTCCTGCACATTAATACTGCATTCTACCACTGACCCACTTTACTGTAAAAATGCCTTAAAGATACAATGTCTGGCTTCAATTACCCCACCCAGATTTGGCATACAACATCACAGGCCTCTATAAAATTATCATGGCGGTTGTAGATGTGGCGTAATACACACTCCCTTGTGTTACATGATATGTTCCCTTTGATGCTGGGAATTGGTTTTGACTGAACTTTTCTCATCTGTGCAAATTTGAAGAGCAGTTTTTTCGCCCCTTCGGTCTCTGTCAGTCACTGTCACAGCAGCAGCAGCACAGAGGGGGGATTAGCCGAGAACTCACTGTGCTCTCTTTTAAGGTCGGAAGTGTCAAAACTACAACTTCCAAGCAGCACCAGGGCGGAGCAGCAGCTGAGCGTCGGCGGCAGGCTGAACCAGAGATGCTGCTTGGACGCCCAACACGACCGCTGCTCCCCGACAGGTCGCGCTGTCACCACCCCGGACAAGAGTAAGACCTTTTTTTTTTTTTTTTTTTCCCCTCAAAAGTGCAGAATGCTAATGTTAGCCTCACTTTGTGCTTTTCATGCATTACCTTAAATGCAAGTCTCAGAGGCAAGCTTTGGATTTTCAGAAAAGTCATTAGGTGACCATTTTAAAAGGCACTTAGCCTGATTTTAAATGCATTTCCTGAATAATCAAAGACTCTTCTAACCATCTGGACAACAAAACAATGCAGTCTGGTACACTAAAAGTAAAAAATGCTGTTTCTCAAGTAATACGTTTCTTACACAGAATCGAAGGCAGCACTGCAAGTGACTGGCTATGGACTGTGCTACGTTCATTTCATTCGTTTTATTATTTTCTATAACTATAGAGAAAATGTATATTTTATTCATGTTAGCCTTTCCTTCAAAAAGGAGTGTTTACATACACACACATTACCTTTCCTCTGTGAGAAGACTGATTCTTTTACATTTTATTTCCCCAACAAGCTTTGGGGTTTCGTCACAGACCTTTTCTTTTCTGATATCTTTCTCTGTGCTTGTGTTTCGTTTTGACTATTAAATTTTTCTTGCCTGTTTCTTTGGGTTTCACTTTCGCCTGCTCTCTGTGTTTTTGTACTTCTGTTGGTAGTAAAGGCTCTTTTGCACTGTAGTCACTTTGACCGGGAATGAAGGACCGCGCTGCCTTCACAACAGAGTTTAAATTATTTCATTAGTCTCAGAAAAGTCCCTGCGTGACTGCTGGTCATGTTTTAAAAGTACACAGACTTTCTCACAGCCCTGAACATCTCTGACTGACCAAATACTCCCGTTTTGTTTTTTTATTTCAGCCACTGTTTTTAAAAATCTTTACCTGTAGATGCAGTTTATTCTTTGCTCATTAACGTGGAGTTACAGAGGAAAGCATACGACAGATGGACCAACAACAAATACAAACACTTGACCTGTACAAGCAGCTGCTGCATTTTCACATGTCGGCGTACTAATTAGTCTCATCATTGTGGGTCTTTAGACTGCAGTGGGAATGCAGACAACCACCGGTATGAAGCAGCCTTTTAGGTGCCCAAAGAAAATTCCAGAGACTAAAAGTTCTGGGTACTTGAGGTGGAAACGCAGCTTAAGTAAAGTTTGCCTTTTGTTTTTTCCACATCTTCTCTGAAGTGTTTTCTTAACATGTTTCTGTTTAATCAAACCACAGTGCTGTGGATTAATGTGGCAATGACGAGTGTTACAGACGGGCCTTTCTCCAGGCCAGCTGGGTTTTACTTTTTATTTTAAATATCAACTCTCAATTGTATGTATAATAATTAATTGATCATTATATTTAAAAATAAATCTAAAATAGCCGAAGTCTCCTCCTGTTTAGTCCAAAAACAGAGAACATCAGTTTGAAGTGTTAAAGCATAAAACAGAGAAAAGCATCAAATAACTGATGAATCAAGTAGATTCAAGCCTTTTTTACTCTGGACCTCTGGCTTCTACTATCTGTGACAGCTTGATAGTAATTATAAGTACGTTAATGCTGATGGTGTGTCGTGGTGTCCAGTGGAGGAGCAGCTGTTTCGGTCGGTGGAAGGCCAGGCAGCCTCAGACGAAGAGGAGGACAAGTGGACCGGAGATCAGCAGAGGCGGGTGGACGAGGTGAAGAGGATCCTGACCAGACTGTCCTGTTGTGGGGAAAGGTACAGCACACCTGAAATAATCAGGTTCCTCCTGCTCGACCACCTCTGATTTGTTTGAAACCTTTGTGTCGTAAACTATGGATATTTAAAATGGTGTCTGTGAAATTTTAGTGGCTGAAATATTCACTGTTGTTCCCCATCGTGCTGTTGATTCAGGATCTTAGTTATAGAGGAGTTACATGTGGAGATGTTCAGAAACTTTAACACTCTACTTGGATTAGGTTATCTACCAATATGTACATGTATTGTGGTACAACTTGTCATGAACGTTAAACAAAAATAAGTATTTTTATGACCGAGTATATTATATTTAAAAGTATTGTGTAGCTTTTCTTTTTTGTTAGTGACATGCAGCTACATGTGGTTTAGAAAATATCAAAAGCTGACAATCATTTTTTTTTGTTAATGTGCGCAAAGATGGAACTTTAATGACAACTTCTTTTGGTTTCACATTTCCACTCACCCAGATTAAGAGACTGTTTGATCTACTTTCTGAGTCAATCACATGATGAAACATGACGGTGAAAATTTCAGGCTTTTGTCTTTAATAGAATCAAGAATTTCCTTCATAATTAATAAAGTTCTATCTTATCTAACCTTATCCTAATAGCTTCTGAGCCAGTGTCGTTTTAAACATAGCCTGTGTGTATTATTACTGTTCTTTCTTCACCTATGACCTTTGCTGATTTCACCTTTTTGGTGGCGTTAGATTGTGGAAAATGGCTTTATCTGAGCTTTTTAAAGAAAAACAACCACCTCTTGTTGAGGAAAACAAGGTTAATGAGAGTGAATGAGTACTATCTGGTCCCTAAAATGAAAGTAATAAGTCTAAAGAGGCTAAAAAGTTCTGCAGAATTAGGCGATCATTCTGTCAACTTCCCCTCAGTTATGTTCTCAGTACATGTGCTCATTTGAATAATCACAAATATGAGTAATACTTAATTTCACACACCAGTCAGCCACAGTATTATAACTACCTGGGTAATATTGTACCATCAGAACAGTTCTGACTCGTTGGCCATGAACATGGGACCTGTTGTGGTGTTCTGTGGCATGTGGCACTGGGACAATGGGTCCTGTGGGTTGCAGGTTGGGGCCTTTTGTGGATCTAGTTTGTTCAAGTGCATCTTAGGATGCTTTATAATGTCGTGAGACATCAGCTCAACAGCTTGTGCTCTTAGTTTTGTTCCTCAAGCTGTTCTTGTTGCAGTTCATGCAGTGTGGTGGGACACATTGTCCTTCTAGGGGAGGCCGCTGATGTCTGGGAGTGCTGGTATCATTACTGCCTCCCTGAACAATGTGTAGTACATGTCAAAGTGACATCCACATGAATACCGAGACAAGATTTCCCAGCAGAACATTGTGTTATAATGAGACGGTCAATGCCATTCTTTTTTTTAACCTTACTGTGGTTTCAATGTTGTGGCTCATTGGTGTATTTCATCTTCTTGTGTGCCAAAGTGTTTATATTTTGCACAAATACAATGAAGTCTGCCACAAGTAAAGAAAAATAATAGAGATAGAGACGCTTATACAGAAATGAAAATACACCGCTACAAAACAATATTCAGCCATTAAACGATTGTCTATAACCACTTGACCTTTAAAGGGTCATGAGGGTTTTCAGCCTATCTAATGTCAATCACAGGGCTAATGCATATATAAAGTATCTAATGTTGTGTTCATGTAAAAGTCTGAAGGATTAGCGACAAAACTAAGAAATGTTGTCAATGCCTGATCCAAAACACACTCGTAGACATCTTAAATGGATTGTTTTAGCACCAAGCAGCAGATTTCCAGCAACGCTCATTCTTTCTATTGTGCTGAAATGTTACCATGTAGGTACAGACATTGAATAATGACTAAGCAAACCAAAAACTAATGCTCAGAAACAACCTGCCATAAGATGCATCACCGCCTCAGACAGCTACTGCAGCTCCCAGCTTGACTGACTTCCTGTTTTCTGCCATGTGTTCCTATCCAGGTGCGATGACAAGACATTCAAGAAGCTGATGTCTAATTTCGGGAGCTCGAGAAGCGAAGAAAGCTGCAGCGCAGTGGTGGAGCTCTTGGAAAGGGTGACCAGGTTGCATAAGCAGCTGGAGTTGAAAGAAAGCAAAGCAGAGATGGACATGGACCAGGTACAAACCACCACAGACCACCGTCGCACCAGGACGGGCTCCTGCTGTGTCTGCTCCGTCCGTTTATACGAAAATGTTCTCTCTGGCCTCGCTTTACGTCTTAAGTCATTTTGCAGCTTTGTGTACTGCGTTAAACTAGATTAGAGAGGACTGGTTAAGGTTGTTATGAAAGTGGAGGGCTTCAAAGGCAAAAACCACAGCTAATGGTATGATCCTGCAGCTTCCACCGAACCAAACCACCAGCAGCGGCTGCACAGCCTCCCTGTGCGTGCGTGTGTGGGTGTGTTTGCAGCTGTTTCTCACTGGAGCCGACCACAGAAACACTCCCCCCTCCTCCAAACTTGTTGCCGCATGACACTTATATCATGAATTAAAGCTCTCTCGTTACAGACGAGTAGTATTTTCACAACACAGGAAGACGGGCAGAAAGGGGGGACCGTGACGTAGTGCGTTCCCAGAACATCTCAGCACTCAAAGAGGAAAAGTTAAAACTAAACAAAGTCCCGACTGTGAGGCTTTGTTTATGAGCAGGATGTGTGGGGTGAGACCTTTGTCCTTCAATACGCCATGACGTAAAGGTGAGCTGCAGGGACTTCCAACTTCTTTGGAAGGGAAAAACCAGCAAAATGTGGACTTAAACTCAACACAACCCATAACATATGACTCACATTTAAACTAGGTGTATTTATTTTTGCGTTAAGATGTTTAGCAGGCCTGCGCGGTGACATTTTCACATCTTCAACAGTGACATATCCCACTGCTTTTGGAATCCGCTCGAATTCTGTACAGTCCAAGAATATGTCTCGACAAGATTTTTTCTTTTTTGTGAACAAGTATAATGTGTTTATCCAAAGTCATAGAGTGCCAAAGTGCTCCAGTGTTGTACAGAGTGTATTAAGAAAATCTCATCAGAGTCTCACTGTTGTACTGGGTGACGTGTTCCTTAACTCCCATCTGCGCTGTCCTGCTGCTGGAAATAGCAAAATGCTGAAATGAGTTCTCCAACAAATGCACTTCTTTTCTCCTGCTTGGGCAACGTTTGCAAAAAACAACTACAACTTTTTGGAGAAGTTTGTGTGTCCTCCTGTTTCAAGACATGTTTTCTAAAAATGTCCCTAAACGAAGTACGAAATATTCATGAAAATGTATAGGAATGTTTTAAAAGAACAGAGTTTCCTGTAAGATGACTGCAGATGCCATGCAGCGGGGCATTAAGGACTGCGTTTGGGTCTGCTGTGTCTTCCAGATGAAGGACTCCCTGATGCAGGAGCTGCAGCAGAAGGCCGAGGAGACGGAGCTGCTTCAGATGGAGCTGCAGATGCTGGAGACGGAGAGGGTTCGCCTGTCGCTGGTGGAGGAGAAGCTCGTGGACATCCTGCAGCTCCTCCAGCAGCTCAGAGACCTGGTTAGTCACAGGTTCAGGCTGTCTGAGTTGGATTTTTGAACTGAAGCTCCAACTAGCAGATACTGTTTATTCACAATTTTATTTATTAATTTGACATTTTAAAACTCTGACATACTGTTATGATTTTTAGTGTTGTGACAAATCTTGTTGCCAGCAGTTCATCCAACATGTGAACCAAACTTTAAGTTCATGATAGTCATTGGTAGTTGAAAGAAATCTACCTATGCTCTAGTGGAAGGATTTTTTTTTTTTTTGAGACATCAGAAAGGAAAACTGCATCGTCTGTTTAGATTCCCAGTCACTGAGGTCATGGTAATCCTAAGAGCTTCAGCAAAAAGCAACTTTACTTCCCTTTCTGGTCCTTAAATACATTTCATTTTTCCATTTTGAAACTGAGGAACCCTCTTTGATGAGATGAGATCAAATCAGGTTTAGCTGTACATACACAGTAGTACAGGCAAGATGAAAGAGTTTCTTCAGGATCCAATAACTTAAAGCAATTTAAAGATGAGATAAGATAAAATAAACTTAATTGAGATGAGATGCATGTTAGTTTAATGAAGACAATATACAAGGCGTGATGAATGTACCTATGGATATGTGCATATATGACACGAGTAGTGAAATGTGTTCAAGAACCAACATTTAAAGTCACTTTTTACTGAAGCTCTTAGAATTAATTAGTGTTGTCACAGGACAAACCTCCAGACAATAACTTTGTGACACTTTCAAATTAAAAGTTTATTTGACCTGTTGAATCAACAAACACATCGTACCTGTCGAGTAAGATGTCATAAGAGTTTGTCTGTTCTTATGTGATCTAAGCAGCCCGTCCCTTGACGAAGATGTGTGAAAGGTGTTGCAGTAACCAGAGTTAGTTTTTCCATCTATTGCCTGTTATGTGCCTGATCTGAGAACAGCTTTCTCTCTCTCGTTTCAGAACGTCTCACGGAGGTCTCTCGGGAAAATCTTGCTCAGCACATTGGAGTCTTGCAGCGACCCGCAACACGGTTAGTCGAGCTGGCTGGCGACGCCCAATAAAATCAATACAAGCCACGTGAAATGCAGCAGTGAAAATTTACAGTTAGCCGGGGCAGGGACTTGAATCAAGTTCCTTGTCGGGTCACCTGTAAGTCGACTCCCGCAGAGGTCACATCTGCTCTGTTTTTACACAGGCAAAGCCCACATTCTGGAGGTGCTCAACGCTCTCTATCATGAGCTGGCTGCTTGTGAGATTCTGTCTACTGGGGGACCTTTGGAGAGGACGCAGAGTCAGCAGTCTCTCAATGGCCTCATCATCTCCTGCTAAGCAAGACTGCCTCCTGGTGGGCGCAGAACGCTCTAACATCTTCCTCACGGACACTGAAAACCTAATGGTGGTCAAAAATCAAGCTGATGTGTATATTGTATTATACTGTAGCTTATATACGCTGTTCATCATATCTTATATAAAGGGACGTTAGCCTAGAATTATTGTACCGAAGATAAAAATGAAATTCTTGTTTATACAGGTTTTTTTTTTTTTTCCCCCTCAAGAGCTTTTATTGCACATTCATGATCCACTAGGGAATGCTTTTGTGATTAATTGTTCTACAACAGACTTATTAATGTGAAAATGTGGAAATAAGCTCAACTTTAAAGGAGTGTAAAGTGCTCCACTAGACAACAGGCCAATGACATGCTCGGTAAAAGATTTTAAAGGTTCACAAACCTGCATTTTAAAATCAGATGAGTTGAGGGGATTTTGTTTTTATAAAATGCCGATGCAGACTATACCGAGGAATGCAACCGATGTTTGACCAACTCTGTAGACCACAGCTGGTGTGCACAACACTGAGTTTTATACCAGGGGTCCTTATTAAACATGTAATGTTCAGAACCATCAACCACATTGTAGCATCACATGAGCTGGACCAATAAAACATCATTGCAATTTTGTAAATACTGAATGTTCATTTCTTTTTGCACATTTTCTTAAATGTTATTCCACTTTTTTTTTTTTTAAGCTTTGACCTTGTCACACAGCCCTCATCAGGATATAGATTGGGTGCATTTTTTTTCAAGCAACAATTACCAAGCTGATGTATCCACAATCTATTAATACTAAACCAGTAAATCTGCGATGGGCAGTGTTTTTCGGCAGCATTGGGGGCAAAAAAAATTCACACCAGCATTTCAAGCCATTGTCATTGAAGTGATCTGAGAAGAAACTTTTGCCACTTTTGCTGCCTGTTAGATTAACATATATGCTTGTCCGGTGGGATTGGGTCTAGGCAGAGTCGGGAGAGAGAAGAGCTGCAGACGGACGTTTGTATTTTCTAATTCTTCCCTTTATCGCCTTTTCTAGATTTCAGCCACTATAGCTTTAATGATGCATTGCAATAAGCTGACTGTGCAAAAATAGCTTGTTTTATGCTTCTCCTATTGTTGTGTTTGAAAACAGAATTTTAGAAAAAGCTGCTGCACAATATACCTGACTCTGCTTCATGATGAGTGAAGTTAAATGCAATATTTTTTTTCTTTTACTGTGAGCAGAAAAAATGCTGTATTCATATTATATATATATATATACACACACTAAAAAAAAAATGTTTTATGTTCTTAACTTCTGAGAGCTTCTCATTTTGTTCTTTATTTGTAAATACCATTTTACAAAAAGTGGAAAATCTCCTTTAGTCTTCTTTCTAAATGCAATGGAGCAGACTTGTGATGTTTGTGGGGAAAAAAATCCAGCTTTTTCACAAAAAATCTATATATTTGTGTTAAAAGATGGATTTAGGCATCGTTGATGTTGGTCTGGGCTGCAGGGTGGTAGCACTGTTGCCTCGCAGCAAGGTCACCGGTTTGCGTCCCAGTGGGGGCACCGGAATCTTGCGTGGAGTTTGCATGTTCTCCCCGTGCAGCGTGGGTTCTCTCTGGGTTCTCCAGCTTCCTCCCACAAGGTCTAAAAACATGTTGAGGTTAATTGGTGATTCTAAATTGTCCGTAGGTGTGAATGTGAGTGTGCTTGGTTGTCTGTCTCTAAGTGTAGCCCTGTGATAGACTGGTGACCTGTCCAGGGTGTCCCCTGCCTTAAGTCAGCTGGGATAGGCTCCAGCCCCCCGTGACCCTAATGAGGATTAAGTGGTGTATAGATGATGGATGGATGATGTTGGTCTGTTCATGGGGTTTGTTGACATCCATCAGTTTTGTTCACAGAAAATCACAACAGTGTTTACAGTTGTATAGTGAAGTTGTTTTATTGAGCAGGTCAGCTAAGGTTCTGAAAGGTTTTGGGGACGGTCATAGCTGGTCATAGACCAAAGGTAAAAGAAGGCCTGTTAGTCGTCCAAGTTTTAGACATCAGTCCTACTGAACTGATTTATTTAAGGTCAAAGAAACAAACTACAGAATTCACTTACATTCATATACAAAACATTTTACACGAAACATTAAAATGAAAACAGGTTAGAAGTTTGCAGACGTCTTGGTGACATTTAGCCTCAGGTCTGTGATGTGCGTCTCAATTCTCTTGTGCAGTTCATCCATTGAAGTGGACAGGGTGTCATATAGAGCCTGGACACAGTGAAGGGAAACATGTTAGTCCAAACCATGAACAACACTGTGCAGTGAAGCAGACGTTCTTGTGTCCTCTCTCTCCTGTTTGTACCTGAGCTTTTCCCGTCTCTTTGCTGCAGACATCTCTCAGACTCTTGATCTTGGCCTTCAGCTGCTGCGTCTCTCCAGAGATCTCTTGGATTTTGTCAGCCATCTCTTCACGCTTCTGATGGATCTGGTTACACTGCCTGGATAAAAAGTTCAAGTTATGATCATGTAAATCCCATGACCTTGTGAGACTGACCAGTAGAGAAGCGTACTGTGTGTTATAGCGCTATGGTTCATACCCCAACACGTCTTGAACGTGCTGCTCCTTCATCTCTCTCTTCTTCTGTCTGCGAATGTTCTGCTTGCACTCTTTATCCAACTTAATGCCCAGAGCTCGCTTCAGCTGGCCTTCCTCGATGCACAGGTTCTTCAGCTCCTTCTGCTTCTTCTCATACTGAGCCATCAGCTCCTGGTGCTACACACACAAAAACACACACATATTTATATCCTGTGCAGACAGTGACTCTAAACATCATGTTGAGATATGTGATTGTAAGTGCAGGATGATTTGATGGATTATATTTTACTGGCTTAGTGTAGTAGTGTAATATTGTCAATGCAGAAATGCCAATGAGAATTTTGTGGCTGTTACACATTTCATCCTCCCGACAGAACAGATGTCTGTCACAATTAAATACCGTAATTTCCGGACTATAAGCCGCTACTTTTTTCACACGGTTTGGACACTGCAGCTTAAACAATAATGCGGCTAATTTATGCATTTTTCCAAGTTTCCGAATTTGCCTGAGACGAAAGTGACATTGAGAGCGACAACGAAAGAGAGACTGAGGAAGTAATTCTGAGGCTGTTCAATTCCGACACTGAAGAAGACGACTTTGGTGGTTCTAGTGCGCAGGAGGAAGATGAAGATAGCGATCAATGACTTTTCCTGGTAGGCTGCTGTAGTTTTTATTTTTTTAACCAGTTGTGTTACAGGCACTGTTCGGAAAAAAGCATTTTGTAAATATCTCATGTTACAACGTGGACACCTGCGGCTTATAGACAAGTGCGGCCTATACATGTACAAAATTTGTTTTCTTTTAAAGTTAGTGGGTGTGGCTTATATTCAGGTGCGCTCAATAGTCTGGAATTTACGGTACTAAAGAAACATTGATGAAACAGAACATCTTTTAACTCTAAAATTTCAGGTAAGGGTCAGGCTCTTCAGCTCCAGAGCACTAAACAACCAGAACACATCTGCTAGGGTTGAATGAGATATTTGAACTCGGTGTTTACCATGTGCCTGTGCTCTGATCATACCTCTTCCTGACGCTGCTTTGCGCTGTTCATGCTGCTCTCCAGGTCCTGCAGCAGGCTGTACATCTGCTGGATCTCTGCCTCAGTGTGGGTCACACCCTGCACCATGTTCTGCAGCTCCACTCCACGCTCATCTGTTTCTTCCTGGAGTAAAAGAACCACACCAAAAAAAAAACAAGCAAGCTCAACAAGGCAACTTTTGGAGCCAAACATCTTCCCGACTGTTTTCTTTCCTACTCACAATGGAGTTTTTAATGTTCTTGACATTCTCCCGCATCTTCTCCATCTGACTCTTCAGCTCCTCGGGAGACTCCACAATCTGAGACTTGAGTCTGCCGATGTCTTCCTTCAGGCTGCTGACGTCCACCTTTACCTGAGCCTGACAGACACACATGTTTCAGTTTAAGAAGAGGCCTTGAGTGCACAAAAATGTTAAAAAATGTAATATATCTACGTCACAGTCACATACCAGTTTCTGTGTCTTCTCTGCAATTTTGGTTTTCCACTCTGCGATGCTGTCGTTTTTGGCATTCTGAAAGTAAACGGGTGTATTTGACTTTTTACTTTACTTTGGACTTTAAATATTCTGGTTGTGTTTCATCACCACCTACCACGTCCTGATATTCGTGCATGGTGGTGGTCTGCAGTTCAGAGAGAGCAGCTGCCAGCTCGTCGGCCTCAGCCTGCTGCTCTGGTGGGATGGTCCTGAATAGAGACAACTCTGTAAACATGTGACTGTGCACTGCAGCGTTTCTCTTTCATGCCTTATTGTGATCTTGCATAACATGCTACTTCTCTGTAGGTTATGGACACTTTTTAGGGACTTTCATAGGAACGCTCGTTTACCAAACAACAGTCACAACAAAAAAGTCACATATTTAATCCAAGACTTACGTCAACATTTCTATTTTCTTCTCTGCTTCCAGATTGCCTCTGGTGTAAGTCTGCAGCCTGTCCATGTCTGCCCTCTGACAACAGACAGAATCATAGTTATTATTAAAACTTTTCACAATATTTCTAAATTAGGTAGCTCAACAATACACCAATCAGCCTAAACATGGACAGGTTAAGCGTATAAAACTGATCATCTCATTACAATGCAATGTTCTGGTGGGAAAGTTTGGGTCTTGCATTCATGTGGACGTCACTTTGAAATGTACCACATGTACCATATATATACAAGCAGATTTATGTGTGCATCACAGCTGAAGCTAACTCATGATTATAGTTTCCAAGGCTCCAATGCATTTTGCAACAATTAGGCTGCCGTGATCAGGAAGCAGCACCATTTATATGGATCGAATAATTATGACATGGCTGTTTAACTGTTGATGGTCAGCACACAAGACCACTCCTGCTTTTAGCTTGCTGTCAGCCCCCAACGTGGATCAACACAACATACAAATTTGGCCTGCTTCTCCAAGGTCGTCTCCATCCTCTGCTTCCTGAAGTGAAGAAAGTTCATGATACCACTCAGAATAGTCAGAGTCTTCTGTTTTTCTGGAGAAAGAAAGGCAAGATGTTTATCAACACAAAGTCATATGTGCATTAATGCGTGAAATATGGGGGAACATTTTAGTCAAACTGAATAAACCACAAATGTTATGGCTGAAATGACTTGCTGATAGAACATCAGTGTAGAAGATTAATTTTGGTACCTTTTGGAGTCAATGATACAGCTGAAAGGCCTCATTCTCCTCCAATGGAAGGAATTTATGTTCTACACTGTTGTGCTATTCAGTTTAATCAGTAATAAAACAGTTTGTTATTTGCAGACATGAATAAATAGCACACACACTTACTTGGGGCTAGGAGGTCATTCAGTGAGAAATCATACACCAAGCACATAGGTAGGAACTGCCGCCTATAAAGATCACACACACAGAACTCTTAAAAAGAAGTGTCGCTCTACATGAATTAACACACAACATAAAACCCCAGAATTCAAGAGTTGTGGACCAAGATTAGCCAAAACTAGCAGTGTGCTCTGTTCATTTGAGTCTATTTTGTCTGCTTATAAACAGTATATTTAAATATACTATACCTGTAAACACATCTAGAAACATTGTACTGGCTTTACACACAGTTGGCACATCTTATATCTATAACAGAAAGTAAAAAAAACTCACATGCGTGTGTAGACGCTGATGATAGCAGTGGCCCCCTCATGATAGGCTGGATACTGGATGTTCTCCAAAATTGGAACCTGTTGGACAACAAAAGGCAAATTGAAGCCTCAGCTGAAAAAAGAAAGGCAGCAGCTAAGGGGTTGATCTCTATGTTTTTTTTCAGGGCCGACAATCACCAGACTTCTCCGTGTAAATTTGAAAATGTAGTGAACTCAAGAGTACGTGAGTGAATTGATACACAAGACTGGATGCAAACAGTTTGAGGATCCCCTCCAGACATGTCTGAAGGGATACAAACTATTCTGAATATTCATCATTCTGTTTAGTGAAGGCCAAACAGACAAATATTTCTGAGTGCATCAAACGCCAGTACTCACCATGGAGTGACACTCAGGCCGGAAACGGTACAGGAGATGCAGCACTCTCATGTACAAAGTCTGAACTGCTTCTGGCTGAAAGAGAGAATAAGCACTCCAATAAATAGTCTGTTTTTCATCTGACGAGAGACGACTTGTGCCTCCATCTCAAACAGCATCTCTAACACAGGCCTTCATCTCATATTGTCCAATTCAGAATCTTTGTTTCTTTAAAGTGGAGGAGATGGCGATGTAGGACCAAATCCACTGTCCTTCCTCTGTGCAAAAGCCACTCTGACTTAGGTGGTGCGACCAAAGATTATTTTCTCAATTGATACGAGTCATTTTCAAGAAAATATTCCAACAGTTCACAGGATAAAGCTTCTTCAGTGTGCTGGTGTGTGACTATTCTTTGTCAGATCTGATTGGAAGCTGAATATTTTGGATTGTTGTTTGATTAACTTACACAAGCCAAATCAATTTTTAATTCAATTCAGTCTTGGGCTTTGGTAAATTACTCAATTAGTCTTTATTTTATGTAGTTTTTTTTTTACAGGTGAATTGCTGCAAAGAACAATCCTCATTTTTCACTGTCTGACTTACTGTGATGAAAACTGTCTACATGTGTTTAACTTGATTACTTATTTAGTGCAAGATGTACACGTTTCTCTATATTGTGATGATCTGATAGACTTTATAATTCTGTTTTTTTTCCTTTCTTTTTTTCAGTCATAGCAACACTGACGCTCTGCTGCCAAATACAATTGCAGAATAAAGTCCTGCCATTTAACGGACTATTCACTCGTAAAATATGTTACACGTAACATTATTCATGTTTGTAGTTTGGTACATGTGATGGAACCCAAAGCCAATGGTATTTTAGCTTTTCAGACAATTGTGTTGTTTCCTTTGCCTTCCTTTCAGGCGAGCCGCTGAACCGTCTCTAGACAACACTGGAGGGACGTTACCTTCGGAACCGGGGTGAGGTCGCTCTTCGTGAAGTGTTTTGCCTCCTGGCCGGTGAGAACTTCGGTGCGATAAAAGTTCACTATCGCATCCGCAGTATAGACGGGAAAGGTGTTTTCAGTCATTGTTGCAACTCCAGAGCAAATTTAATAGTGATTAAAAAAAAATACAGAAAAACGACTCGGTTTTCAACGACGAAACAAAATTGGCGCCTTAAAACGACTTCCTTGTTGATTTCCAGACGGCGCAGCTGATTGGCCAGTTCGTCCTTCTTTTTCTTCTTCTTTTATTGATTTGGCGGTTGGCATTCAATGTTCAGGTGCATTACCGCCACCTACCGGACAGCAGTGTGGAGCAAGATTGGCGGAAAAAAATGAAATGAAATGAAATGAAATGAATGAAATGAAATGAAAAAAACTTTATTTATCCCAGAAGGGAAATTCAATCTTGTAAAAGCTCACTTTAAAAAAAAATCAATATAGCATATATTTATACAACAATAATAAAATAAATTAAAAAAACAAAAAACAAAATCGTTATTCGAAGTTCTGTGATTTTAAGATACTCAATTAGATCACTTAATATTCCTTTTCCTGTTCCCCCAAGGAGGTTCTGCACTGTTAGTTCTAATTTTTGCAACTTTGCTGTGAGTTTTTTTAAATTTCTTCTTCATATTGGTGGGATTCTAGCAGCACATGCTGACCTGTTTCTTCTTTGTCACAGTGCTGACATGCTCCATTTGAATGTTTTTTTGTTGTTTTTTTTGGAGTGTGTAACTTAATCTAGTGTGTCCAATTCTTAAACAGCTAATGACTGCCTCTTCCCTCCGGCTCCTGTCCAGCCTTCTGCCCTGACCAACGTGTTTTGAATGTTATAGAACTGTCTTCCTGTATCATCTAAATCCCAGTATTCTTGCCAGCTTTTGTGTTTTGTTGATTGTTTTACCATCATATTTGTTTATTGGTATTTTTTTGTCTACTGTTTTATTTTTAAGTGAAAGTTTAGCCAGTTTATACACTCTTTCATTCCCTTCCACACCAACATAGGCAGGAAATTGTGAGGTGAGGCGGTGAGGGGGCTCTACAGACAGTCAGATGCTGTGGACCATGGATCATATAGGAACTTATACTGTCTATGATCTCTCAAAGACATTTTGACTCTTGTATACACACTTTCCATAAGTCTTTGTCCACAGCTACTTACAATTCATAGCACTCTGGGATTAAACACATGGTTTCCAGAGGCCTATACTATGAAGCAGGGTTTGCGGTTGAGGTAACTTTGTGTTTAACTCTGGGTTTTCAGGACTGTAGTGCACACCATGTATGTGGCTCAAGACCTGTCCATGTTTATGATTGGTCATCTGTTGCCAACACTGTTCCTTCAATGTAAATGCACTCATAGATAGGTGCATAAACCCTAAGTTGATTTACCAAATTCACACACAGTTCTGTGTGATTGCTTAGCCTGACTGTGGTTATGATAATGATATGATGGTCTATAATAACAGACGAGCAATACGTTGGTGTAGTAGCGGCCTCCTGCCGGCAGAGGCGCTGTTTCACATCACAACACATCTTTATTACCGGCGGCACCGCACGAGGACGGAAGGACACCCGCCATTGAATCAGGTTCACAACGTGAACGATACGTTGAATCGCTATCTGTGAAATAAAAGGTGCAAGTGTTTATTACATACCTAACGCTGGTATTTAGTTGGAAGAATGGCGTACAGAGGACAAGGACAGAAGGTCCAGAAGGTTATGGTTCAACCCATTGTATCCTTTTTACCGCAATGAAAGACAGGCGCGGTTGAATCGGTTGCTACAATAACTTAGCAGCTAAGCTAGCCGTTTGTTGTTCACTAAAGCTCGCGTATGTTGTTTGCAAAGCTGAGAAGAAGTTTCAACGGAGGCGCAAGATGTTCTGAAGAGCTTTTTTCCCAATTGAAAATGCAGTGCTGATGTGAAATGTGTCTACAGTTAGGGGTGGCTCACTGAAATGCATTCATACGTCCAGTATATAGACGTAGCCGCGGTTAGCATGCCGAGCTCGTTGCTAAAGGTTCCGCAACTATTAACATCTCAAGTGTGGAAAATTTACCGCTGGACTTGGTTTCAGATAATCCCGAATATCACCTGCAGCTTTATTGGAAATGAGAATAATAGTCAAATCGCTGTTATTTGTTGAGTACATTTATAACAAGAAATGTCGAGCCAAAGTTATTTTCAGTAGAGAAATACGTTTGGATGCACTTTGTTGAAATGTCTAAAATATGACCAAGGACCATTCACCATCTATGTGGACCATTTTACTCACATGTGTTTGGCTTCAGTCTATCTGTTTATGTAATTGTGCTTTTGAACATTGAATTTCCTTGACTCTATGTTTCAGAACCTCATTTTCAGGTACCTACAAAATGTAAGTACTCAATACTTTGTTCTGCTTTTTTTAAATTATTATTATTTGTTTTGTTAAATAGTTATGTCTTAAAAAGTGGTGTTCTCATTTAGTCTTGCTCTCCTTCCCAGCGTTCACGGATCCAGGTCTGGTTGTATGAACAGGTGAACATGCGGATAGAAGGCTGCATTATTGTAAGTTATCTTTTGCTCATTTTTTTCTGTTGTTGTTCAAGCAGAGTGTAACATGTAGTAACTATTACATTAGTCAGTCATTTCTTCCACAATGATTTATCAACAGTGTAGTGTAATCAGTAAATACATAGAGTGAATAGACTGAACTGTGTAGAGGAAAGCCTGAGTCTCTCTTTGTGCTTAAACCAGAAGGTAGTTTGTATGTTTAGACTTGCTTTCATCTCCAATTTAAACCTGTGTCTAAGATTTGAGGGAGTATCAACCACCAGGCTTGGTTGATGTTCCCTGATGGTTTCCCAAGAAAGACAACTTTTGAAATTAGTATATGTCCAACATTATACAGAAGCAGCTCAGTGCTTTACATTGAATAATATAAGAGCAACTTGCAGGTTGGTGACACCGGTGAATTAACGTGTAGGGAAATAAGCAGAACAGAAAATTTTAAACAAATTATCACAAAATATTTCTACCCACTTAAAAAAAACACACAACGTCGTGTTAATGCTGCAAAAGGGGAAGTGGCTAACCTAGATCAAGTTTAACATTGTCAAATAGGATGGGTTTGACACTCAAGAGGTAGAAAATGTATATTTATAAGTATATGAAGAAATAAGGCTATGTTATCGTGAGCCTGCTGGGTGTCACAGAAACCAGAAACAGTCAGTGACTTGGAGAAATAATGGCCACCAGTGAGAAATTCATTTATGTGAGGAGAAAACCTTGTGTTGGCAGTTTACCACTGGCAGGAGTATTGATATTTACAGTAACACAAACTAATGCGTGAGTATCAGCTGGTATTAGTTAAGTCTTGCATTGGCTGACACTGTGTCTTATGGTACCACATGGGTCAGACTGAGAAGTGAGAGAGAGCTGACTTATTTAGAAGTTTGCAAACATTAGAAAATCAGACTTGGAATGCACAGTGTTTTTGTCAAGCTAATACTGTGAGTCATCTGTGATCATTGGTCCTGGCAGCACCAGTACCTGTGTCTGGTGGTGGAAGTGTGACTGTGTGTACCAAAGGAACCATGACAGCTGTCAGTCTCACATAGGCCAAGCTTAGACATCCCATCTTAAACTCCATTGTATCTCTGGAAACATAATCCTCCTGTCTAAAAATGAACACCACCCAGGAGTTACAAATGCTGCAGTGAAGTCCTGTCTCTTCACCTGCACATGACACATACAGGTATGAAAACTAGTTCTATTCTTTCTGTTGGAAGAAAGTGATGTCCAGACAGACTGGAATTTGTGCAACCTGCTCAAATACAATAACTGAAAAAAATACAAAGTTAAGTGCAGGTTAAAACTAGCAAGATGGACTAACTCACTCATTAGAACCTATTACTGAACAGTGCACAACAGCAAAAACAACTCCCTTATGTAACACAATTTGATGCTTTGTGGGGAAAGACAGCAGTTTTAAGAGCACTGCTCTACATGCAACTAATTTTAGCTGAATTTATGCTGTCATTCCTTGTGAAACACATGAAGTCACGAATAAAGTGTTCAGTTATTAGGAAGAAGAGTCATTTCCAGATAGCCTGCTGGGCTGAGACAAAGCTAAAATTTGCTTAATGCTAAGTTAGAATTTATTCATATATTGTCGTCGTTGTGGCTCTGGAAGCTCTGTCAGGGTCTTTCTGTGAGTTAAGGGTAGCAACATTTTTTTGCATCTCCCACTACATAATGTCTTCATTCATCTGTGTAAACCTCACATCCCCTTGAAATTCTTACTTTTGAGTTGTGAGCTATTCTGGTTTAACGTGATGTTTAAATGCCGCTGTACTGCTGACAGCCGAGAATAAAAGTGTTGTGTTTCTGAGATGTTTCTACATTTGTCTATACTTCTAAATCTCTCAGACACCTGGAGGGAATTTCTTCAAATTTGGCAAAAACATTGTTGTTTAATCATCTGGTGACAGCAGAACTTTAAGCTTGACTTTAAACCTTAAGTTTCTTGTTTGGACTCTTGTATGACATTGTTAGGAATGAAAGTTGTCCATACATGGAGCAGAACTTGGGAAGTCGCTGTTATGTTAACGGTAAAATGTCACAAATGAGACCCAACTCATAAGCAGGTGGCATTCCAAAATGTTCTGCTCAGTCCCAGTGAGCCTGATCTTGTCTCACTGATCCTTTGCTGTCTTAGGGTTTCGATGAGTACATGAACCTGGTTCTAGATGATGCTGAGGAAGTCCACATGAAGACTAAGAACAGAAAGCCACTGGGTAAGTACTTTTTTTTTTTTTAAAGCTTTATTTAGCATTAATTTGTCTGCTTACAGTTAAGCATACAGGGACCATAGTTACAGCGTTGTTAGACCTGTTTTTACAGCAGACATTTTGGCTTGTTACAGCAGGAGAAGCACAGGTGTAATTAATGACTTTAAAACAACCACATGCCATTTCTGTGAGCAAGTGTAGTACATGCTGGCTCACTTGTCGTGCTTACGCTTAAAGGATCTGTGCTGTCTTTACCTTTTCCTGCTAAGACAAGTCAAAATAAAGGACAGTTCATGCTGTCCGCATGCACAAGGGTACATATGACCTAAATTCCCACCCAAATCTGCCAATGTCTGCCAGGACCCCTTCGTAGACTTCTATGTGAAACAATGATTGTGACCGCATGGACTGTCTGCACTGCAAGCTCATCAACTGTGCATGTGCTAGGAAAACAAATAGCGCTCAAAAGAAATGCTTGTTAAGAGGAGAGGCTGTAAGAGGAGACTCTCCATCATCCATGCATTTTTATAATTCATAGTTCAAAAATCTGTAATTGTAGCAGCGCTTGCCAGATTTCTACAGCAGACTTATTGTTGTATAAACAGAGCTGTGCCTGCAGGCTGCTTCAGAGTCTACATTGGGCTGTGCACACAGATGCAGAAAGCATGAATTTTAGCCGAAGTCTTTTTTTTATGTTTAACATTGAGGCTGGATGGATTTTATGTTGAACTATTATGTCTTGCAACTTAACTGTAATAGTCTTACACTCATTAATTGTGCACAAATGGCGATTAATGGCTGGTTCTGGATCCTAGAAAGTATGCACTTCACTATTTAACCCTCTGTTGGTGAGGCCTGCTGTATTGTTTCAGGAAGCATCTTGCTACTGATTCTGTCTATACTGTGAAATTAGATTTTCTGTTACTTGTAGTCAGCTGGGTGGAGGCTTAGTGCTTTGTCTCGAGGTGAACTGACGCTTTGTATCTCTCACCATCCATCATTTGGCTCCTCTGATCTGTCTCCTCTTGGGTTTCTGTCACTTTCTTTCTCCCAGGGCGGATCATGTTGAAAGGAGACAACATTACCTTGCTGCAGAGTGTGTCCAACTAGTGTCAACGGAGACGACTACAAATCTTACCTTTCCTAGAATGAAATATTTTCTCTTTCTGTTTTTTTTTTTTTTTTTTTTACAAATGCAAAGTATGTTTGTGTTTATTTGACATGAATATTGTAATGGTTTCTTTCTATCACATGGTTCCATTTTGAGAATAAAGTGTTTTGTTTTTTTTCTTACAGATGTTGTCTATAATCACTTATTCCACCAAATGTTTCTATCCCGCAGTTATTTGTGTATTTGGGTCATTGGGCTGCACTGCCATCTAGTGGCAGACAGCGCTAATGTAATGCACTTATGTAGGTCAAACTTCCAGCTCCAAGTACAGTACAAAAAGGACAAAGTGCATTTGTTTTACAGGGAATTCATGAATCTTTTTGGATTTCTGAGGGGAACCCTGCACCTGTTCTGTCATAGTTATTGCAGTGAAACTGACAACGTAGTGTAGCAGCTTATGAAAGCAGGTTTAGTCAGTGGAAACAAAATGCATGTAGAGCAGAATTCAAGGCACACATCCAGACTGTACATCCTCGATGCAGAGTGTAACATGCATTACTGTTCCAAAGCTAGATGCAACATTTTTTTTAAAATTTTATTTTATTTTTTACAAGACTAGGAAGAAAAATCGCCAAGTAGGATTTCTGCAAAACATACTGCATAGAATAGATGGATCACATTTTGAACTGTCAGCATCAAATACTGCATTTACAAACGACAGGAAATAGCCGGAGCAAGGATTAATGTTCACGTTGGAATAATATCTTGACTTTAGACAACCGATAATTATTTGTTCTCCAAACAGCATACTGGTGAACATTATGAGTATGTTTGGCCTTAGAGAAAAAGTGCTGTGGCTGTGCTGAAATTCATTAACGTAATTACGTAGTGCTTCGCTACGCTGCGTGTCCCTGTTCTGTTGACTGGGAAGCCCCTAGCGCGGAGCTGCCAACGCCCGACTTAAAGACACAAATAGAGGATACGGTACGGAAAAAATGCATTTTTTATGTTATTGGGGTGAAAATTTGGCTCGGTTTCAGTTTGAATGTTGTCAATAATAGGTGTGCTGTACGTATGTGGTGCATGGTTTGTAATTTCCAACACAGATATGTCATTTAGCACCAGCATCCGCTAAGGTTAGCTCGCAAGCTAATTGGGGTGGACAGTAGTTAGCAAGCAAACAGGCAGGCGGTCCGGAGCAGCAGACCGGCAAGTAAATAAACCTCCTGGGGCTGTATAGCAATCGTGTTTTATCATATATGTTTGTGTTTTTTGTTAAGAATTGAACGTCTCTGGGACATTAAGTAAAGCTAGTAGCCGGCCAAGGATTTAACTAGTTAGTAGTTAGCGAGTAGCTGGTTAACGAGCTGAATATAAGGCACAACAAGCGCTCGGTTAATTCGTCTTTTTAAAAATCAAACTGTGACTCTGGATTGTAGGTGTACAAGGTAATGTTTAGGTACTAAGGTTTAGAGTCACAATATTGTCTGGATAAACAGAAGGGCGGTTAGTAAGTTTAGCATTTTAACAACCGGCAGGAAATTAGGCCAGATTGAGGCCGGGGATGTGGCCGAAATGTAGCCGCTAAGGCTAATGCAGCCAGGCTAACTGTACTTTTAGTAGTAGCCGTATCTTAAATGGGATGTAAACGTGTTTTTGTTATGCCGTTACACGTACGGGATAATGATAACAATTCCTCACACCACTCGTGGTCACACAGTTGGACATGGCATAAGTTGTGAGGACGCTGTTGGAAGAAAAGGTCCAGTTTTCGATGCTGTGTCGATGTCAATAGACGAGGCTTGTGATTGATCTCTTTGACTTGAGGTCTGCGTGTGTCTAGTTTCAAATTCAAATGAATCATCGAGTCCTGGTTTCAGATTTAGTTGGAAGGAAGCTGTGACCAGTTTTGAGGAGATGTTGCTAAATGCGATGTAACGCAAGTCCTAACCTCTAACGCTTGAAGCTTTGGTGTTTGATTCTGTTGTTGGCAAAAGTTTGACCTTTTTTAGTGGCTGGACACTTGAAAAACAAATCTTGCTTAACAGAGCGACTGCATATACTTAGTTGTATTAGGGGTACACTGCCACAACAAACGGAATATCAGATGCTTTCATTGCTTTAAGCTGGTCTGCCCTCAAAGTGCTTGGTGGCCTACAAACACAAATGCTGGATTAAGTTTGGCTGTGCTATTGCAGCAGTACCTCAACCCTCTGTTGCTCATTGCCAATGGCTTACTGCATTGTTTAGCCAAAATTTGGTTTTAAAAATTGTAGGTTTAGTCCTATTAAATGAGGCGTTTCGATTTTCTACTGTCACATGTTGTTCCATGAATGATAGGTCACACATTTGCGCTACAGGACAGTGTGATCCATCAGTTCATACACTGTTGTATAGATATGCCAGTGGTCATTGTACAGTGAAACTCTCTGTTCTTCCTGTAGCCAAAGTAGGTGAAGGATTCCTCCTGACAATTCCTGCAGAAAATTTTCTCTTGCTTGAAAATTGGTGTATTTGGCGGCAAAGGCACAACTGTCCTTGATGTGTGTTGGAAATTTGTAGATCCAACATAGTAACGGGTATTGTTAAAATTAGTGATCAGAACAGCGTATTACGTGGCGTCCTTACATTAGGATAGCTCAGATTGTTTAAGGATATTTTATGAAGATGCTTTTAACACTCGAGTGATTCACCATCTTTTGAACATTACAAACAGCTGCCCAGATAGTCTTGTTTCAGTTAGATGAGACTGAGGTGGAGGTAGGTGACACCCAAAGTACATATAGAATGACAAGATTTTGTGTAAAATTCTGACACACCAGGTGGAACCACAGCTCAGGTGGTAGCGGGTTGTCCTCTCATCGCAAGGTTGGCAGTTCGATCCCCCACCCCTCCACAATGGAAGTGTCCTTGAGCAAGACACTGAAACCCAATGGTAGACAGGCACCTTGCATGGGAACTCTGTCGCCATTTGTGTATGAATGTGGGTGTGAATGGGTGAATGACAAATACGTTGTGATGCGCTTTGAGTACCACTAAGGTAGACAGACTCTGTAGAAGTGCAGACCATTTACCAATTTCACCTGAACACACGCACTGTTCATGAAATTGCTAGCCAAAATCACCCACATTTTTTTTAACTTTCAGCATTGCTGCCTGCTCACAGAATGCGGTCCATGTAGTCGCTGACTCCCAATAGTACAAACCGTAAACTATTAGTTGCCTCATACCTTAATTACATTTCTGTTCTGTATTGTAGCGTAACAGCTTCCTGAGAGGAAGCTTTTGTATTTTCTGATCAGGCTTTTCAGATAGAACTTCATTTTTCTCATGTAGTTATTACATTTTTTTGTTTGTTTGTTAGGATATTGGGTTGATAGTCAAATGTAAGATGCAGAGAAATCCTTTTGGTGTTGAGAGTTGTACTTGCAATCGTGGGCAAATTTTTGCATGGTTTAATACATTGAGGCAAGACCTTAAAGGAAAGAATTGAATGCCCCTTAAAATAATTCTTTCAATGCTCTGCAGAAAGAATTTAGGATGATGCACTATTTTCCAGTGAATATCTATGTAAATACTACATAATGCTTTGTCTAATAAAAATACTAGCCTGATTTGCAAAGGATTCGTATGTTGAAGAATGCTGCTGTATTCCATTTGTGTCTGCAGGATCATCTACCTGTGTTCTGTTGCCTTGTTAGACTGTGTTCACGCTGTAATATTTGGTGCCTGCAGTTTTGTCCCTTCTGCTTCTCTCAATGACACCCCCACCCCCACACAGTGGTGCAGAGCTCTGCAGTGGCTTAGCACTGACATACTGTAACTTGTAGAGGAGAAACAGGAGAATACTGTGACTCACATGCTACATGCACTGTGTTTTCACCAAAAGTCAAGTTAATCGGTCCAGATTTAGTTGAATTCCATGTCGAGGCTTCAGTTTCACGGTTCTGGTGTTGTACGTGTGTTTTGTCCCTGTTCTGGTGGCACTGATTGGTTGTTGCTGTCTTATAAACCATGTTGGTATTGTGGTTTTAAAAACTGTGATGTAATGAGGACTTGGCCTTTTTTCACAATTTCTTTTAATAGTTTTATCTTTGGTGGTGCTGCAGTTGCATGACTTGCACAGATATAAGTCTCCTTTAAGCTAGCAAGAACAACAATTTTTGTTGAGTTCTGTGCTTGTTTAACTTTCCCACCCTTGTTGCACTAAACTTGACTGTCACAGAGCCGTCCTTGAAGGCCCCATATTGGGCCCTATTCAGTAAGTTAATGCAAGTTTCACAGGCCCCGCAGTGTCTCTTTCAATGGTAGAGCTCAAAATACATGTGGTTAATTTTACCATGACTCTATAACCATTGGTTTTAGCCCTGTTTAAAACTGGCTGTTTTGCTCTGTTGTGCTGTGGTTTGTTACGTTGTCTGTCAACAGAAAAAAATGTTTAAATGAGAACGGCTTTATTGGGAGTTCACCTGTGTTGAAATGCAGTATGTGGCATTAGATTCAGAGATCAAAATTGATATCTCGATTCCAGCACAGCGAACGAATAGTTGGCTATTCGGGTCCAGCCCTGGTGAACACTGGCTATGTTTACCTGGCTTGCACTGAACACAGCAAGCAACAATAAAACACAGTAATCCACTCAGTCCTTTCACTAATTTCACATTGCTGATGCGGTTTCCATTGTCTGTGAATATCTCTCAGCTGTTCAAATTATGCACAGCTCTGCCCTGTGGGCAAATGACCAAAACTAATCGCAGCCACATTAGCTGTACAACACACTAACACTAGGACCTTTCTGTCATTGTGGTGTCTATTGTATCATAGTCCTCAAAAATGACAGTAATCCACTGTATCTTTAGTCCTTCAGATGCCTGTGTTCGCTTTTGCAGCCAACACTAGAACATTTGGTGTGCTTTGCTTGGGGCTGAGACGTTTCAGAGTTAGCAGACATAACTGCAGATAGCCCACAAACCTGGTGAACTGAGAGGCAGCTATTCATTCTGAATGGTTCATTTGGAATCAGCAGGCAGTGAGGGGGTGGTTAAGTTTGAGCTAGATGACAGATTATTGGTTAGTCAGCTGTAAGGTAGCATCTGGGACAAACTCTTTTGTTTGTAAGGATTCCAAGTCAGTCTAGTTTTGGGGGTGCTTGACGAAGGACAGAAGTAAATGTCTTCATACCTTGACAACTTTTATTTTACCCGTACATGTTTATAACAACCACAAAACACAATAAAAATGGATTTTCTGTTAAACATATCATGAGCTCATTTTTACTGCTTAATTATTAAATGGAAAATTCTATGAATTGTTAGTTGAAGAGCATATCTATTGTTCCTCCACATCTGAACTGTGTCACACAGTTCCAGTCATTTACCAACATTTTGTCACTGACTGATAATGGAACTGCCATCTGGTGTTTCCTTAGCTTTGTTAAGGTTCTCCTGAAAGATGTTTTTAGTCCTTACTATGCTTCTTGTGTGTTCTTCTCACACATAATATTTCTATTGCATGTTGACAATATATAATACAGAGTAAATGAGAGTGATTTAGTAACTCACAGAGATTCAGTGGTGTAATTTTAGTTCAACTGCTAAAAATACTTCATTGTCTGTGTTATATTTGTTTATTTCAATTCAGTTCGCTAATTTTTTTTTCACATGTATTTGTGAAATACAGATGGACTGCCACTTGCCAAAAAAGCAGATTTAAATCCACTTTAATTCTGTGCTGTAAAACAAAGGAAAGACCATAAGGTCAAAGAAGGCAAATATTCAGTAGGCAGTTATTTGTTGGCAGTTCAGTAAACCCATTAATTTTCCTTTCTCTTTTTCTGTTCCAGATCTTGAATGATTAGCAAAGACTGTAAAACACAGCTATGCAGACCATCAAGTGTGTTGTGGTTGGGGACGGTGCTGTGGGTAAAACCTGCCTGCTAATTTCTTACACCACGAACAAGTTTCCCTCTGAATATGTACCTACGGTAAGTATGTTAACCTCCATGTGCATTTTGTAGACAGGACATTGACTTGTGTAAATGTTTAAGTCATCACATGTTTACAGCTGACAGATGATGTCTTATCGTTGTAGTTTGAATCTGTGAAAAAACATTACTTCCGAACCCTTAGTTCTTGGTGTTTATTAACCCCATGTTAGGTTGCTACAGAATTTACTAAGGTGGATATTGGAGTTTATCTAACAAGATACTGTTTCAGTGTTTGTTTTTTCCCCGAACAGAATGTTTTCTTTGCTATGTGGCAGGTTTTGGTTTGATAAACCCAACCAGATGGTTACTGTCTTTTTAGCCCAATTACAGGCTATGTTGTTGCACACATAGACCATAAATTTAAATGTTTGAGGACCCGTCAGAAAGACATGGCAGTCTGTTAGTTGTCAGTAGTAAAATTATAGTCTTTATAGCATCACTGACAATTGTAACATTACCAAGAATGAAGAGTTCAGATCATCTACTGTTCTTCAATCAGTACCATCGAGTGGTACGTAAAAAACAGCAGTCCATAGTTGACTAATTCAGCTTGACAAGCGGTGATGTGATCAAAGTCCCTTTTGATATGCATTTCCCAAAATGGTCTCGACCTGAATCAGGTAGAACCTCATGCATGTAGATAGTTGATTAAAATTCTAATGAATAAGACTGCCAGATTATAGATGGCAGCAATTTATTTAAGGGCTGCACAATATTGGAGGAAACATTGCAAATGCAATTCAATGTTTTATTTTTCTGCAATATATGTTGCAATTTAAATAAAAAAAAAAAGAAATAGCATGGGTATGCTTACCAACTGTAAGATGCTGTCTTTTGCCAAAGCACTGCAGCCTGGTGCACTTGTTCAGCACAGCAGCCTTTGGTGACAGAGTCAATTGGTATCACATCTTTTGCGGGGTAAAAAATGATTGCATCAGTGATTACGCTCTGTCGTTTGGAACTTCTCTCATGTGATGAAACACTGGCGAAGACTTCTGAAATAGCATTCAAATATGACTTTACACTCATCATACAGAGCTTGGTTGAGCCCATTTAATATGTCAAACAAGTTACTGGAACAATTGCAAGACACTACTGACAAAGTAGGTGTTTTTATGTAAATGCTTTCATGAGACAAACCTGTCTTGTAAAATTAGTCATGAAATATAAGAGCTGTGTGAGTTTTTCTTTTTCTATCAAGCAGCAAAAAAAAAAAAGTTGTACCATGATTTGCTTCAGTCAAGTTGCCTTACATCACATTGCACTTCCTGTGGTGTGACTATTATGCATGCACACATGCAAAACAATGATGATGCTAAAACAATATATTCAGCCCTATTTCATTTGCAATATTTTTCAAAACTGCCGCCGTAATGGAATGTATACATACTTCACTATTGTATGATGAGTAGCTAACTGGGTTTTGGTCTGTGTGTTGTAGGTGTTTGATAATTATGCTGTAACTGTAATGATTGGAGGAGAGCCCTACACTCTGGGATTGTTTGATACAGCAGGTATGTCCTTCTTTTGTCCATGTCTTTTATTTTGTGATGTGAAATTGGGTTTTCTGTCAAGTGTAATGGGAATCCTACTGTTGAATGCAAGTTAAAGAGTCCCACTGCTGTATGAGTTGCCTTTTTCACATTCAATTCACATGCAAACTTTTGTGAATGTAGCATTTGTGTGAGGCATGCAAATTTTGAACATTTTCTTAACGATAATTGGCCTTATCAGTCAACAATCAGAAACACAAAATGAACTATGTGGACATCATTCTGTGTCTTTACGTAACTGCTTTGAATGCAGCCATGTGGCATAACCTGCTCCAGTTGTGTAGACACCCAGCCACTGGACAGTACACTTTACCTTCAAAAGAAGAGCTTTGTCCCGTAGACTTTAGGCGTCACATGAGACTTTCTCATGGTGGCACTTCACTATCTCAACTCCTACAATATTGTGTTTACCAACATGGAACTGCTGGTAGTTCAAGTGAGCTCCTCTTCAGGTAGCCACAGGGTTAAACAGTAAGAGACGCTTTGTGGTGTAACCAGGTATTACAGCTAATGCGCAATATTTTATCTGACATGCATGTCCTTTGTCTTCTGTCCTACTGGTTATTACATTTTGATTGGTCATTACCATACTAGTTTGTGCTGCCTGAGGTGTTCCCTGTGGTTTTTTTGTTCAGCTACATTCCTCTGACAGAGATATCCAGCTCTGTCCAGTCCATCAGTGCTGGTAACTTGATAGCCACGACATGCGAGTTACACATTCTTGTTTGTGGTTTCTCCAGGTCAGGAAGATTACGACAGGTTGCGACCTCTGAGTTATCCCCAGACAGACGTTTTCCTTGTCTGTTTCTCCGTCGTGTCCCCGTCCTCCTTTGAAAACGTCAAAGAAAAGGTAGGTTTGGCCTTTTCATTTATCTTTAAAAGCAGTTCTTTTTAAATCACAGTCATGAAATTTGTTTTGTTTTGACTTTGTTTTATTTTTTTTATTCTCTGAGATAATAAGACCTAAAATAAATGAAATCTGACCAGAATATTCTCACGAATGAAAACCCAGCATTAAGCTCTTGTGTCAAAGTTTTCTGACTGTTGTGTTTGTGTATCCAGTGGGTTCCGGAGATTACCCACCACTGTCCAAAGACGCCCTTCCTTCTAGTCGGAACTCAGATTGATTTGCGGGATGACCCTTCCACTATAGAGAAACTGGCTAAGAACAAGCAAAAGCCCATCACTCCGGAAACGGCTGAGAAGCTGGCGAGAGACCTCAAGGCTGTGAAATATGTGGAGTGCTCAGCCCTCACGCAGGTAATACACATAAGTAAATATACTAGATTAACAGTCTCACATACACACCCTCTTGGACACACGTATGATTGACACCTCAATGGCAAGAACTCAGAAAGTGGAGGAAAGAGGAACATGTCCCTTTCCCCTCTGGTCTGTGCACAATATGATTGATGAGTTTTGTTCTGCATGCTGGTTTTGTTTTAGTGGCTGTTCTTGTCTTGTGAGTTCAGTGGTGTTGCGGATAAGTAAATATCAGCTGTTTTTCATATAGTTTCCTCCTTACAGTAAGCAGTCTACATTGGCTGTTTTGTTAAGTAGCTGTCTTTAACCTCGTCGCACAGTAATCTGGATACTGTTGCAAAATACTTGGTTTGAGCTGTAGTGCTTGTTTGACAGTGAACTGCTGTAGTTGCTGAGGGTCACCCAGCACAGCTTGACGCAGGGTCCTCTCCTGGGGCCTTATTTATCATCAATGCGTAGAAAAGTTTCTAAATTCTGTCTTACAAAGGAAATTTAGAATGTTCGTAAGTACAAAAAAAATAAATCTGTATTTATCAAACAGAGCTAGTTTTGGTTTAATTAAGGAATATAAACCATGTTTGTTGGTAGCATGTTTTGTTTTTTTCCTACTCTGAAGTCCCTCTTTGCTCATTGATGAAACCCTGGAAAACTCATTGGTGTATCAAAGTTAGAAAGATTTTTTCTATTAAAAATCTTCCTTTCTTGCCTTAAAATGGGTTAGATGTAACTCTACATTGTTGCCGCTTGTAGAATGTGCAGATCTATGAAGTCCCTGCACTCTCCCCACCCTCCCTTCACTGCAGCTCGATCACACCAGCTCACCCACAGCTCTGTTTAACCACTGTCAAACTATTCGTAGCTACACAATGACAGATTGTATTGTGAGAGTAATTCAGTGATACATGCTCGAACAAGAAACTGATTCTGAAGTAGAGTAATGGCAAAGAAAGCCACCCTGAGAGTGGACAGTATTCGTTCCTTAGTTTTGTTGCACATGAAACCCTGCATGTCATCGGTATGCTTCAGTGTCAAGGCACAATGCTCAGCCATGGCACTGACTCTTTACTTCGCTCATGAAGCATCTTCTAGCATATAAAAGCACCATATGCACAGGGTAACAAGAAGGAACGTCTCTCATGTGTCACTGAGAGTTGTAATGTGATTGGATTACATGCAGATTATAGAATAAATTAAAATTAAGTAAAGTATATCATTAAAATTTAGGTGATAAATTAATGAAACAGTACTTACAAGTTCTATAAAGTGTGCACAGATTGAGTATTTCAAATTAGTTGCTTAAACCGGCTACAAATGCCAAAAAGTTAATTGAAAAACTGTGTCAAAGAAAAAGAACATTCTTCAGCCTACTTTTAAAAATAGAGACATTTGGATCTAAGAGGAGCTGGTTCCCGCAGTGTGCAGCGTAGTGACTGAACCATTTATCGTTGTCTGGTCTGAACTCTGACCATCACCAACTGACCAATCCTTGCAGATCTGAGAGACCTTCCAGCAAACATGTCTCTGATATATTTTGGTCCCAGATTTATAGGCGATAGGTAAAGCCTTACATTCATTTCTATATTTAAAAGGGTTTCAGTGTAGGGGCCTAAGAACTGGAGTAATGGGATCTCTCTTTTTGGTGTTTGTCAGTATTCTGGTAGCTACATTTTGAAAGAGTTGTAAATGTCTCATGGTCTTATTAGGGAGGCCGGTAGGGACTGCAGGACAGTCGCCCACTCTACAGGTAATAAAAACATGCATGAGTTTTTCTAAATCCTACATAGACACTACGTTTCTCAGTTTGGCTACGTTTTGCAGAAACCAGAATGAGAATGTAGCTTTGATGTGGTGACTGAAATTCAGATTCTCATCAGTGATCACACCTAGAAATCTTTACCTGGCTATGAGTTTCTAGTGCCCTGCACTCAAGGTAAACCCAGAGCGTAAACCTTACTTCTTTATTGCCAAATAGAATTATTTTAGCCTTGTCCATATGAAGTTGAAGGAAGTATTATTGCACTGTTAAATGTTCATAGTAATTTGGTGAGAGTGTTGGATAGATCTGTGTGTTGTCTGCTCAACTATGATAAGCAACCCTAAAGTAACATGTACAGATTGTAGAGGAGAGGCTCAAGAAATAATCCTTGTGGCACGACATACATCATTAGGCTACTTTCTCTCCGAATCATGATTCATGCGTAAGTCATTTATAATCTTAGTGCTCTTTATAATATTCACTATTAGAGATTTAGTGTTGAGTCCTGTGTTGGGCTGTCTAATTAAACATGTGCTTAATGAAATCCTGAGTACTTGTATTGCCACTGATGCTTTGCAAAAAATTCTGGGAAGGGAGCAAGCAGAGGGAACAATAACCAGAGGACAACAGGGGAGTCAGTTGTCATTCAGACAGAAAACAATGGTGTTGATGGAGTTGAGGTGTAGCGCCCCACCCCCCCTGCTCCTTCCTTCCTTCTCCCCCTCTTTCCTTGGCACAATGGTTGCATACCTGCTGATGTCATTTCCTGTTTCCTGTCTGGGATCTCAGCACTCAGCCCCTGCCTTCCCCTTTCAGCCCTCTGCTAAACGCCTGCCTTCCTCTGTAGAGTCCGTGTCTACGCTGCTGCTCTCGACCCTTCAGCTCTGCGCCATGCATCATCTTCACACAGTCGACCTGTACCTTTCACACCGCCTTTCTGTGTTTCACTCAAAAACTTTCCTCCTTGTTCTGCCATGTTCCTCTTGTCCTCCTCCCTATCTGTTTCTGTGTGTGCTGTGCTAATCGTACTGTTGTTCTCTTCCCTCTCCTGCTGTTGTAGCGAGGGCTGAAGAATGTATTTGACGAAGCTATCCTAGCTGCCCTAGAGCCACCTGAGACGCAAAGAAAGAGGAAATGCTGTATATTTTAAACTCCGTGTGCCACTGCTCTCATCTCTTCCTCCTCGGATTGCCATTATTCTTTCCATTTTTCATTCCTTTTCCCACCTTTCTCCTTTTCTTCTCCTTCTTTTCCTTCTTCCTCTTTACATTTGCTTTAGAAATCTCATCAATCTCATCTCATCAAGTTTAGTCATCTAACTAACCATTCGTTAATCTGATACTGCAGCTCTCCTGCGCTGAGAATGCTTTTTAACTACTATTTGGTCTGTGGCCTGATCACACGAATCAAGGCCTTTCTGCACTCACACTTGTTGCCTTCTCTAAATTGGTTGGTGTGTTATCATACTTCATATTTTACCTCTTGATAGGTTTATTACCAGAGATATTACATTCCACCGCATTCTTAGTTGTGCTACTTTGGCCCCCTGTGCTCATTACTGTGGCCCTTGATTAACAGTAGCGTAAAATCTTACAGAGGGTGTAGGATGTATTTGCAATCCAGCCATTGTTTAAGTTAATCGGTCCCCTTTTCCTATCGCAGCTGAAGGAAAATTCCAATTTCAACCCAGCTTATTTCCTATTAATGCGGGGCTATGGGTCATGCTGGCTTTACTCTCTTCTTCTGCTCCCTGCAACTTTCCAAAAGCAGATTTTTGCAGGAATTGTTTTGGTTTTTTTTGAGTCCGACCATCAGTAAGCACAGAAATTGTCCACCTAGAATGACCGTTTTGCTTCCTGCTTTGGCTTTCACTGACCAAATGGAGAGCTTACTGAATACAGACTCTTGAACTTATTCATGTCAATCATCTTTTTGGATAGCTGCACGGAGCTCATGCTACTCACCCTGACAAAAAGGGTGTACACACACTCCTTGTTTCCTGATCTCTACAAGGAGGTAAGGTGTGAAAAGTTAGCATCGCCCATAGAGCCTCAATAGCCACAAAAATGAAAAGCTACCCCAGGCTGGGATTGAACTCAGTATTAAACAATACTTCCATTTCTAATGCTCATGTATTTTTTGTACTTCTACAGTAGATGTTCAATTTAATATAACTTAAAAGCTGACTATGGTTACATTCAGGGCTTATCAGTACTCCAGTCATATATAGGTAATGTTTGGCTGTTATAACCCCTCAGACGTAGGTTTTGTAACATAAATCTGTTAAAGTGATGGCATTGTGTCCTGTAGACATCGGACAGTTTTACTTTGATGTTTTCTTGCGCCTTATTTTAGACTAGAGCTGCAACAAATACTGAATTAGTTGTCAGCTATTAAACTAACCACCAACTGTTCAGATTGTCATAAATCTGTTCAATATTTTTATCAGAAAAAGTCTAAAGTCTCTGACTGCAGCTTCCTAAATACAAATATTTACTTCACTGGTCTGTGGCCATTAACTGAATGATTGTGGGCACAACAAGACATTTAACGGTGTTGTCGTTGGCTTTGGGAAACACTGATCTACATTTTTCATCATGTTCTAATATTTTATTAACCAAACTACAAATCAGTTAATTTAGATAATAATCAACAGATTAATCAATGACAACACATAACTCGGATTTTGTTGTTTTTGCGTGCCCACCCAGTAGTCCATCGATGTTTGTTGTGTTGAAAGGGATTCCCAAAACGGTACTGTATCCGACCTCCTCGTAAGATGTCAGACGTTATGGAAATGTTACCAGAATGCACATTCAGACATGAGGCTGACAGGTTCAGATGCCGTCAGATTAACGGAGAGCAGAGCATGTCTGAAAGGGGATTTTGACAACATAACCAGCAGATAGTTTTCCTGTTTGCTGCCATGATGATACCGTCTAATTCACGGATGTCGAATTCTGGTCCTCGAGGGCCGCAATCCTGCATGTTTTAGATGTTTCCCTCTTCCAACACACCTGACTCAAATGATCAGGATCGTTCTCAGGCTTCTGCAGAGCTTGATGATGAGCTGATCATTTGTGTGTTGGAAGAGGGAAACATCTAAAACATGCAGGATTGTGGCCCTCGAGGACCAGGATTCAACACCCCTGGTCTAATTGATTTGGTTTATAGCCAAGCCATTTTCATTCAGTAAAAATGTTTTATGACTTCCTTGGCCCAACTTTCCCTATATATGACAGCAATGTGCCATTACCTGTGGTGCATATTGTACTATTTTCAAAGTCAAGATAATAAAAAAGCTATGATGTGTTAATTTACTTGTGAAATGAATTAATAAAGGACAAATGAACTTGCTCTCCTCTGTGGCTCCCTTCTTTTATTAGCGCTTTGTTAGAGAATAATTAAGTGTGGTTAGATGACCGAGTAGAGCAACACAGAGGGGATTACTGGTTTAACTGCATAGTGCAGCACTGTGTCCGAGCAGCTGTGGTTGCTTCACATGACTGAGCTCATGGTGTAAGCAGCTCTGCTCAGGAGGAAATACAAAGAGAGATTCATCTCTTGGTCTGAGCACAGTGCTGGCTTGTGGCGATGCGTCTTGTTATTTTAAAACATGTCACTTGTGTGTTGAATCTGTATGTCTGCTTTTAATGTGAAGGATAAAGTGAAGAACAGACGAGGAGGTCTTGGGGTCAGGGATTATGCTTTGTTTTTCCTCCACTTGTTTGACTTGCCTTTGATTTTAGTCCGCACTTTGCACTCAAACATGCATGTTGTTTTGTTATAGACACTTTATCCCCAGTCTAGCTCACACAACTAACAGAAAGAACCACATTATGTTGAGCTTTTGTTGCAGATTTGATTTGAACACCTTGAAATTATTTGCAAATTAAATGATAGTTTTTTGTTCCCGACAGTTCTCACATCCCTCCGTTTTTATCTCACCCCTCTACATGCCCTTTTAAATGTTATTTTTGCTCAGTTTAATGCACTTGACATACTTTGTTTCCCTGCAACCGTTTTTTTATTTGACCTGTGTGTGTTTGCACTGCTCCCTCATTGTGTTTGTATGTTTGTGTTCACAGAAAGGCCTAAAGAATGTGTTTGATGAGGCGATATTGGCTGCATTGGAGCCCCCAGAGCCCAAGAAGAAACGCAAATGTGTGCTGCTATGAGAGGCTCCTTTTCAAAGCGCGAACACACATACACACACCTTAAACACATACAACCCCTTCCCAACCCCCATCCACCCACCCACCCGCTCCCCGAACCCCTTTCCCTTGCTCTGCTAAGGCTGATTGACAGCATTTTCGTCCACAGGGAAGACTAGAAAGAAACCAGCCTACCAAGTTTCAGATAACTCTCTGCAATAATACGAAGCTTCACCCTTAAGTCTGAGTTTGGGACAGAAGATGAACCTAACCTGGCCGACAGGCCGCTGTGGGCTCTGGGCAGGGCGACATCGCCTCCGACGCGGATCCAGATACCGAGCTTACACAACGTAGAAATCTTACTGTCAAGCTTCCAATAGCTTGATTTTAATTCAGTGTTTGTTTAGTTATCTTAAGCCAATGTAAGGGTTTCATGGATATAGGCCCCACCCCCCAGCCCCTCCCCGCCGCCTGATTGGCGGCTGCTCGTGCTGCTGCTCCTGTCGCCTCTGTTGACGAGCACACTCATTGCCGGACCCCCTGCGATCTTTCTCGACACTACCACATGAAATGCTAACGGAGTAGTGTTGTTTTGTTTTTTGTTTGCCAACACCCCCTTCCTCCTCAAACTCACGACAAGTCTGAGATATTTATTCCACGTTCCAAATCGACGCGCTCTTTAACCACTAAGGACACTGTGTAGGTCTGACAGGGTTCATTCAGTAACTCAGAGCAATACAGCTGAAGCTCCACAGAGCTCATTGAGGACGTTGAATTGGTAAATATTGCCGTCTAGAATCCACTTCATGCAGACTTCCACAGTGCAGAGTAGCAGTCAGTTTGGAGCGTGGTGACCACTTGAAGAGCTAAAGGCATCCGGTAGTAATGGGTCTGCTTGTCGACCACAGGAACTGGCCTTTTAGATACAGGGAACTTAAACAGTGTTAGCAGAACAAGCGGTGAGTTCTTCATGCGTTGCCAGGGACCAAGGGAGGCTGAAGCAGGATACGGTTTGAACTTTGTCATCACCTTTGCTCTTAGAACGGGTACAGCAGACACATCCACGTTCAACAGATGCTTCTTGGCTGGAGTTTAATTTCTAAACAACTGATCAGTGAACTTTTAATTTCCACCAGATTTCTGTGCCAGGTCAGAATTTGGTGCCTTCCTATAGTGTGTTGCGTCCAGGCTGCATGTCTGAGGTGTGCAGTCTGTTGTACCCGTTCAAACTGCGTGGTGCTGCGTGTAGCTGAGCCTTGGTCTCTGTTCTAAATGATAGGTTTAACAGATGTAATTATAATGTAAGCTGGCACACAATGTTGATGTAGGCTCCAGGTGTTTTTACCAAAATCTTTTTTTTTTTTTCTTCATTATTTCTGTTTGTGCTGTTTTTTTTGTTTTGTTTTTTTTAAATTTTATATATATATATATATAAATATATATATAAAAAAAAGGTTACTTTCACTCCTTTTACATTTAGGGGTCGGAACTCATCTGAACTCTTACCTGCCAGTTTATACCAAGTAAACCTCTGATTGGTTTAGTTTAAAAAAAATAAAAAAGAATTAAAAAAAAGAAAGACCTCCAATGGCAGAGAGACTGTTTAGTAAAGATTATTTGTGATTGGTTGGTTCTTGTTTTCCTTTACTGGTGGCTTAGAGTTGGGTTGATGTCCAGCCCGAGTCAGTATAATTATTATAACCTGTTGTTTTCTGTTTTTGTTTTGTTTTTTTTGGTGCAAACCAGATGCTTTGTCTAAAGTCTTTGTTCTTTGTATATGCATTCTTTTCAAAAATATTAAACTTATACCTTAATTGCCTTTACCACTTTTGCCTTGCCATTAATTTTATTTTGCTGTGACCACTGAGGGGCAGAAAAACCTGCTTCTCACTAAACAGAACTGTTTTCATGACTGCCAAGTGAATCTTTGTTTCTTGCTCTAACTGACGAGATGTTATCTGTCAGAACGAAAACCAAAGGTAGAACCAGGAATACTGGTGGTGCTGCTGTCTGTGCATATTTTCTTAATCAGGTATTATAAGTGACCGTGTGTTGGTGGCTGGCTGTAAATGTTGGGGGCATGAGGCTGTTGTGGTGTGTCCGGCCAGCAGGAGGTGCTCTCCCCTCAAACATCTCCAGTTTTTTGATGCTCCTCAGTGGAAGCTGACAAACGGAAATGATTCTGAGCTGTGGTGCCGTTCACCAACCACTGAGGTGGGTTTTTTTTTTCCTGCTGTATGAACTCGACACTGTTAAGATGGTGTGTGTGCATGTGGTCCACAGATGTGAGGTAAAAGGAAACTCAATAGTTTTAAAAGTACAAAACATTAAGGCCCAAACACATTAACCCATATGAACTAAGGTGCACAACATAATAAATATATGATGAAGTAGGAGAGGCTTTAAGAGTGACTCCACAGAGACGAAGCCGTATTAACAGCTTATAAAGGCATGAAAGTGTGACTATATGGACTGAAGCAATATGTATGAAGTAAGCCAGGATCCTGCTCTTAGTACACCAATACCAGAGATGGGAATGTTGACCTCAAAGTTCACACCAGTGTATGTGTACAATCTGAAAATCAACCTAAAACATACTGGGAGCCGATATATCAAGGCGACGTGATCACATCTGGGTTCTGGTTAAAAGCCTGGCTGCCGAGTTTATACAGCCTGATGTCAATCAATTATGGACAATTTGTCTACAGTTATGGTCGGATCTTCCTCGTAGTTACAATTGTAAACAAAAATGATATATAAACTACCAACATACAGTCGTCAGATTTATTCAAACCCTTCTATTAAAGAAAAGGCAAAATTCACAATAGTCACTCAAATAACTAGAAACTGAAAAAAGTAGTAAGAAATTAAAATTTGCTAAATTATAATTTAGTGAAATAAGATGTTGCTTTTGAATTGTGGTTGAAAAGAATAATAATAATAAAAGAATGTTCTGGACAAATCAGAGCACTTTGCTGATAAGCAGTGAAATCTAAACACCTGTCAACAGGAGCAGAAGTCTGACTGAGTTACAGAAACACTTGACTGCAGTGATTGGCTCAAAGGGTTGTTCAACAAAATATTAGTTTACACTTTTTTTTTTTTTTTTAAATTTCTTTTGAACCATAATTCAAAAGCAAAGTCATGATTTTTATTAATTTTTTATTTATTACTTTTCTCAATTTCAACTTATTTCAGTGACAGCTGTTGTTTTCCTTCTTTAATGGGAGGATATGAATAAACTTGAGGACGACTGGGAATCATTTCATTGTCTTCGTCCACTTTGAATGATGGATTAGAAACCCTGAGGCGTGATTCAGCATCATATCTGATGTCTGATGCCTCTTAAGGAAAATTGAAACACTTACAATCAAGAATTGTTGACTTGCATAAAGCATAGAAAGTACAAAATAGAGCTCAAGTCCTCAATGAGGTTAAAAAAAAAAGATGAGAAGGCTAAAGGAAGAGCTAAAGGCTTGGATTGAATATCACAGAAGAACCTGCTGCTTTTCTGGAAAAAAAGCAAAACAAAACATCTCTTCGCACTTGATGTTAAAAAAAAAGAGTACGTTCACTCCACAACAGTACAAATGTTTTGTGGACTGACAAAACTAAGGTTGGTTCACTTTATGTGTAGAAACACCACTGCATTCCAACATGAAGGCCTCACCCCCCTAAGTTTATCAAGGTATCTTCCAGGATAATGTCAAGGTGGTGTTTCACCAGATGTAAACCAGTAAGGGTACGGTGATGCAGCAGAGACTCTAAACATCTAAATAAATACAGACTGACTTCAAACAATGAAAAACTCACCCTCTGGAGCAGCGGAGTCAAAGCCCAGACCTTAACGCAACAGAGGCAGTGTGGAATGGCCTGAAGGCCCTGTTAACACCTGGCTGCAAAATGCACATGAGCGACCACCTGTGATTGGATCCCACTTCGCCGTGTATGCAAACAAACATGTACATTGTGTCTGTTGGCAAAGACCGAATGTGTCCTTCAGTCGGTGCTTCTTCAGACATTCGAGTGCACCCTGCTGGAAATGTGCTGAGATTTGCTCGGTGGTTAAATGTAAAGATTCAATCGCTCTTACACTAATGGGATTTTATTGGCTCAAGCATGTCGAGTCTGTCTGTACTTGGATGAAGCTCAGCTCACATTTTATGACTAATTAATGCAGAAACCAAGTCTCAAAGCGTTACATTTTCTTGCCATTGTGAGTCTCTGAGCTTTATGGAAGTGCAGTAATTAAATGAAACTGAATTAAACCTCCGTCCAGTTTGCCCATCCGTCCTGTAATTGAGACACTTGACAGATGATCACAACTCCTGCCCATGTTTTGAACTTTCCAACTCCCCGATAAGTAAGATTGATCTCTCGTTTTTAGCCAAATAAGGCGCTCGTCTTCCATTTCTCTCTGCCTCACACACACATAATATCTATGAGGGAACTGCTGTAATGTTTGTGTTGAGAGATCGGTATCACTTTCACACAGCGTCCACAGATGTCCAGGAATTCCTCAAATGGCAGCAAATGAGGGTAATATCCCAGGTTTGGTGACCTGGATCATCTGCCGCAGAAGACGGCTGGGGAGGGATGTAGCAGCGAACCACCCCCACGCCTCCTCCTCCTCCACCCTCATCCACCCCTGTGAGGCGTTCACACATTCCCTGCGTTTCTGGAGTGCTGTCTGTCAGCGCTTTCTTCTGCTAAAGAGATGCTGACAGCCATTAATTATCACGCAGGCTGAACGGAGGGCATTCCTCTCTGCTGAAATATTGGTGTTAACGCGCACACACACAGATGTTCTACAGCCGTCTGCATCCACACACACACACATGCAGAGAGACACCACCTGGCTTCCATTGGTCTTCATCATGTTTGACAAATGAGTCTAAATGTTTTGTCCCCTGCGGTCGCCCGATTGCGGCTGAGCCTGCGACAGAGGTGGGAATGTAATGACCAATGCAGAGAAGTGAAGCACACTCAGGAACGCGTACAATGCTAGCGGGGAGCTGTGTGTGTGTGCTGCACCTACTTTTATGAGACCATTTTTACGATGATCTGCACAGATACTGACTTGTGATGAAAAGCGCGCTGAGGATTTTTTAGCAGTTCATCGGAACTCGGCAGTAAATCAATGTTCAGACATCTCAGATACAGTCTTGAAGGCACGTCTGCTTGTGTGTGTGTGTGTGTGTGAAGCAAATCTCCACCGTTGGCTGAAGCTATAGGACGCAGCCTGCTTAGCCATGCTGGTACTGAACCTCTGACAGTTTCTATTGTTCTCATATGGAACACAATGTGGTTCTCATGTAACTGTTGGCCGTGGCGTAGAGGTGCAGGTTTGGCCCGGTCCATCTGGTCTAAGTTCTTTCCAGCAAACAGGAGGACACGCTGGGGTGAGAGAAAAAGGATCGAAGGCCATAACTCAGCCATATTGATGTAAAAGGTGTCCTTCACATCATCGTGTGGGTTGAAGTTACACGAAATGGTTGGTTTTATTCTTTTCTATTCTTTCATGAGGATATTGTCATCCTCCTTTAGTGGCAGAAGCCATTTGATGCAAACTGTCCTGCAGGTCCATCGATTTTTTGGGGGAAAAGTCTTGGATCATGATATTCAAATGTCTCCGCACTGCATTCTTGTGCCGAGAGTTCTGCCAGTGGACTCTCCCCTCGCAGCTGTCCAGAGAGGGGCAGTGGCCCTGGCTGGCCTTTCAGGGAGTTAGTAATCTGGAAATCACCTGGATCTGTTCATGTCTTAGAAGGAGAGCAGACATTCAGTCGGGGACAAATTTAACCTTTTTGTTAGGACTTGGGAGCCTTACAAAGGTTACACTGCTGAAAGAAGAAGGGAAGGTAGAAGAATGAAGGAAGGGGAAGACTCCCAGTTTCCCCTCCCTCTGTTTGCTCTCCTCCTTTTTGTTTACATTTTGTTTTTGTCTGTATATAAGTAATACACACACACACACCTGAAGTTCAGGTTTCGTAGATTTCTTCTCATGCTCCGTCTTCCTGATGTCACCGTCGACCATGTTAGGTTGGTTAGTCATCACCTGTCATTCTGGAACCTAAAGTCCCTCAGGATCTTAGCTCTGCTGTTCTCAGCCCCTTTCAGTGGACTTCAGTCTTCTTGATTTATTCTCGGATGTTTCTTGTTTTCAACCTGGACTGTGGCTCTGACCATCACTAATCCTCATCCGCCCTCTTTTTGCTGCTCGTCAAGTCTCAGGATGCAACCCGTCTTCGTGTCATGACAACAGCAGCATCCATCTCTTACTGTGGCCACCTCACTATATCATATGTTATGACTGGTAAAGTGTACATGTTGAGGGTTTAGATCCACACTAACCTGGTTTCTCAGCACCCTCTAGAGGTATTCGAAGGTGGCTGACCTCCCTTGGTCATGGTCCCTATTGTCCATGGGAATATTAATGTACTACCCTGGTGACGTGGAGTCATTTCTGATAATCTTTCCTGTTTCTCCCCCTCCCTTCCTTACCTTCCTCCATTTCCAAATCTGTACCCACTCTTTGAGGGGCATCACCTTAGTATCCACCACACTTGATGGTGAGTTGTGTGATGGCCTTGGAGTTGGAGTCCAGTGTTGTTTTCCACAGCTGCATTGAGGTCTTGATGAATGTTATCAGTGCTGATAGCATTAGAATACAAATTTGCCTGTCTGTGCATGTGTTGCAAATTCATCCTTTTAGTCTTCATATTACAGCAACACAACATGAGAAATCCTGTAATTTCATATGTTAGATTGTTGATTTGTATATGATGCTTTCTGGTGTTGTAGTTGTGATTGTGTTGCTGCT